TTTTCCCGGCAAAAGGGGGGGTTTTTTCCCCCCCCCCCCCCCCCCCCCCCCGGGCTACAGGCCTCCCTATTCATGACTTTTTTTTTTTTTACCTTTCGAAGTATTCGCAATGCTTTAATATTTTGAGAGCATGGAAAAAGACACATTGTTAGCTTAATATGTGTTTCTGTGGTAAATTTGTGTTTCCAGCTGTGTACTGACAGCATTCCTTTACTTAAGCAGTATTTTTTTTTTAAGGACTGTTTTTTTTTTTTTTTTTCGCCCTCTCGCACCGATTTCGGGGTCCCAAGAGGATGTCATCCATAAAAATAAAAAAGTGTGGCCTAATCTATTTAAAAAACCTGTATTCACAATTTTGGCTTTGAATACACTCTTGGTTTTTAGAATGCCTTCCTTACTTCTATGGCAAACACAATTTAGATGGCAAGTTTGTCCTGAAAAGTAACATATCTACATCATGAGAAATCCTTAGTTTTTTTTTCATAACAAGAAAAGTCCACACCTTTCACTTAGAATTTTGAATTCAACTCAGATTGGTTTGGGTAAAAGTACAACTATCAGTATGTAATCTCTGGTTACAGTCTAGATTGCAAAGAGAAACATGTATATTCTTTTTTCCATTTTTTTTTTCAGAATGCGCAGCTGAGCTGGAGAAGTGCCTCTGCAGGAAAGAAAGGTAATAAATCAATGAATTATAGCAAATCAATATTTAAGCAAAAAAATTTAATTAAGGATAGAGAGTATTGAGACCTGCTTGTCAAAATGGCCAATAAAAATATTAGATTTATGTTGAACACACCCAAGACTGTCTTCAAGCTTCTTATTTCCTCAGGTTAAAACTGAAGTAATCTTTATCGAAAGGCTAAGAGTACACATTAATTGAAATTTTATAAACAGTTTGCAAGCTTTTTCTCCTATTTTAATTTCAGTATGAATATTTTAATTTTGTTATTTCAATTGTGATGAATATAGGCATCACAAAATTATGCAGGAAATCCAAAACTCCTTTCATACAGGTTTTCATAAAAGGATCCTATTGAGTGAGACCCACTTTGAATATGTCGGGAAGAAGAGATGACTTTGGTGGCTTCAGAAGCTCTGCCCGTCCATACAGAGATAATCCTGGATTAGGAGAATATAGAGATAATCCAGGTCAAGGTTACCAAAGCTCAGGTAGTCAGGCCCTGAATGAACTGCACAGGGAGTATCATATATTCCGTGGTAGAATAGAAAGCCCCTAGCCTTAGTACAGTAGCTTTCTCTTTGCTAATGCACTAGCTTTGTTTGATGTTTTTCACAGTTTCTGTAATTACAGAGCACATGTCTACTATCTTCTTGTCAAGACACAAGACCACTTTCAACTGCTGTCCAATATGAAGGTAGACCTGACAGACAGGCAGAGATGACGGACGACCAGGCAGACAGACGGACACACTTTAGTGTGCAATGTGAAGAGCACAAACAACCTTAGATATTCTTCCAATCATGCCAAATTGTTGCTTGCCATTGGTGATTGCTTGAATTAAAAAAAAAAAGAAAAAAAAAAATGGACCTTGTGCACACATTTAGGGTCTCTACTTTGTGAAAATATTGCTATATATTGATTTATAATAAAGGAATAGATTTCAAATATAACATTGTTCTACAGTATTTTTCCCTAGAGAAAGGGACGGTGACATTTACTAATCAGTCTTTATAACATAATGTTTGTACCCTAGCATATTCAGTATTAAAGCCAGTCAAATTAAAAAAATGAATTTTCAAAAAAATTGTCTGATTTGCAAAAATGTTCCTCAGGTAAATGAAAAAAGGCAAATATTTGATATGCTAGTGTGCAATAAGGTAGAAAAGTAATTACTGTACTAATCTCATATGTATTGCAAAATGATAGAGTAATCAGATCAGAACATTACTTATTAAATTGTTTGCCTGAAATGAAAAGAAATTTATTAATTTCTCATGTGGACTGAGTAATTTCATGGAACAATTGGTGTCCTTTCACAAGTGATGTGGCCTAATTTCCTAACAAGCTTGCTTACGGATCCTCAGTTACATAAACTTAACATATTTTTCTTTTGTTTAGACCAGTATTTACTCATATTGGTACATTATACCAATCATTACTAAAAGTATATATAAATGTAATGCAACTTGTCATGAAGGAATTTTTTTTGTCTTGTGTGTATTTATTTTTTATCATTTTTCCTTTCTGTTTTCTCTTCCAGGATATGGAAATTTTTCGCAGCTTTATGATCAAGTCAGTAGCAATGTTTTCACCATTAATAACCATGGTAAGTCAAACGATATAAGTTGCATACCTCAAACTTTCAATCTACTTTAAACTTTCCAAAAAGAAATGCTGCAGACTGTTGCTTAACCATAAATTTGATACTAATAATTGACTACCCTACATGTTTGATTGTTGACCATTGATTTATATACACCAGGGCAAAAAAGGCAGCTAGTACTAAGTATCTGATTCAAAAATAGCAAGAAAACTGGTGAAAAGCAGGTTTGAAGTCCTGACCTTTTTTGCATAGAATCCATCTAGGCAACCAAGTTATACGTTTGCCTGCCACAGCACATGTTAATATCTTAACTTTGAACAATTTTATTTTCAGCAACAAGCTTGGAACGCGCACTACGGCAGATTGGATCAGACAGAGACAGCAAAGAACTACGAGATAGAATGTAATGTCCACTTCTGTTCTTTTTTTTTTTTTTTTTTTTTTTACTGTAACTGGCATTTGCTTTAAAGTAAAAATTAACTACATTTTTATGATATCAGTTATTTGAAGTATGTCCTCTTTTACTCATCAGTGTGAAGTTGTATGGAATAATGTGTTTATTAGTCACAAAACAAATAGATGGTGAAACTTATTTGTTACGTGCAATTTTATTAATTGTTGTCATCTACCTTTTTTTCTATACAGACATGAAACAGAGCTGAAAACCAATAAAATCATTGCTGAAACCACAAAACTTTTTAAGCAGTTGTCTGGAATAAGAGGAATAGAAAGGGTAAATGTCATTTGATATTTCAACACTTTGCTTTTACAATATATTTAGAATGAATGGAATAGAAAGGGTAAATGTCATTTGATATTTCAACACTTTGCTTTTACAATATATTTAGAATGAATGTCATTTGATATTTCAACACTTTGCTTTTACAATATATTTAGATAAAATCCTGTGTGGAAAAAGGGGTTTATGTTTGATTACAACCCCCACTTTATTTATTTCAAAAAACTTACTTAAATTATTTCTGTCATTCTAGCAACAAAAGTTGAGTGTGGAAAGGATACAAAATGACTTCAAAGAAACAATACAGAGATACTCTGAATTACAAAAGGTATGCAAATATGTATATTAGCAGGCTGATATAAAAGATATGCAATAAAAGTAGTTTGATTATGTAAATATTATTGGTCAGATTTTGAAGTTTATTTTTTTCAATCACTGCAGTGTATAGGCAGAGGAGGAAGTGAAATTTAAAATTTTTAAATCCGGATTCTAAATGAGTCACTGTACATCTAACCATTTTTCTTAGTAAAGTAATTGCCACATCGTAGATATTTTAAAATACTAGTTTATAGAAAATAAGGAAAAGAAATAATTAATTTCAGAAAGCAGCAGAAAAAGTTAAAACAATAGCATTAAGGCAACGGACACAAAGTTCGGAGGGTCTAGGTTTTGGAGCCAGTGTAAGTTGCAACATTCATATGTTTTTAGAAAAAAAGTCATATAAAATTTATAAAATAAAATTAATTTATTCTGAATAGTCATAGACATGAATGAGCTGAAAGTCTTCATCTGGGCGGGTCAGGATCAGTTTGGGAAAGTTTTATTATAATTATGAAAGCGGTGGATTTTTACTGTGACAATCTTTCTTTTCTTCAGGATGATGACAAAGTGGCTCTGATGGAGCAGGATGAGCTGAGGCGACAAGAGTTACAAGCACAAGAACAGTTAATAGAAGATGACTTGGCTGTGATACAGGAGAGGGAGGAGAGGATAAGAGAATTAGAGGTAAAAAGTGGATGAAGGTGGTCATCTTAAGCATTATTTTCCGGGAACCCTTTCTGTACAAAATTGTATTGTTCCGTACTTCAGGTTTGCCTTTAGTATGGGCTTTTTCAGTGCTTCGTGGACAGGAGAAGGATTATTACAATGATATTTATACCTGCCCACTTATATGACTAAATGTGTGTTCAGTGCTTTATTTCAAGCTATCAGCTTAAAATTATATTGGGTGCAATTTTGTTGGAGAATTTCTGAATAATCAGGAATTTAGTAAAAATAAGAAAAAGAATGTATTCTCTAGATGTGGTCAACTTTCAATTGATATATTGTTTTTAAGGGGGTTACAAAGTCTTTCTACAAATGTCTCTGCTGGAAACTTATATCGTTCAATATTTATTTTGTTTGAAATGTTGGACTGAATGTGACATTTATTTTTCTTCCAGGCAGACATCCTAGATATCAATGAAATATTCCGGGACCTGGGCACTTTGGTGTATGAGCAGGGAGAGATGATAGGTATGTTATGAAGCACGTTTTCTTGAGTTTATATTCTTGAAGGTTTGATGTTGGTTTGTGGCTTTAATCTCCAGTAATTTGTGCTTGTAACTCAGCTGCCTTGTTACATCATTTTGAAATCATGACTAGGAAAATATGCCTTGCTGAAGTCAAGTGAAGAAAAAATTTAGCTTTAAAATGTTTATTTTTAAGGTGTTTTTGAGTTTGACCAATGGATAGTAAGTATCAGAATTCTGGCATTGGGACATAAATTATTCCTAACTAGCACAGTTAGTACATGAATTTAAAACAGAGAGTTGCCTTTCTATTGTAAATATGTTAATTTGTGTGTTTATTAGACAATATTGAAGACCATGTTTCCAAGGCACATGATAATGTGGAGGCAGGGAATGAACAATTGGTAAAGGCAGCATCATATCAGGTAAGCTAATTAATTTACACATCTAGATTAGATCATGTGTTCAGTAATAGAGTTGTGTCATTGCTAAATCATATAATAGTCTCAAGTCTTGTAAGAAGACTTAATGAGAGAAAAATTATTTGATTCCTTTTGGTGCAAGAAAATTTGGCCAATTTTACTTGGTTTACATTTTTTTTGGACTTGTCAAATAATCTTGTTTGACCACTGTTGATGGCCCCCTCTGTTTTGTCTTATGTTTTTAATGATGCACAGTAACATTTATAATAGTAAGAAATTTAACATTATGCTCCGAGATCAAAAAGAAAGAGCAGATGGTGATATTGTTTGGTTTTCATTCTACAAACTTATTATCTGGATTTTTTTTTTTTTTTCAGAAAAAAGCCAGGAAAAAAATCTGCATATGTGTCATCGTCTTAATTATAATCCTTGCCATTATTGCTGTCATAATCTATGTGTCCGTACCTAAGAATAAGTAATTGCAGTGGATTGTACCAATAATTTCTTGAGCCTTTAGAGATAGAGTATGAAGTGGGACAGTTTCCCACCACATTTTATTGAGGATTACGTGATAAATGTGGTGCACTTAGTGCTGTACTGCCTGTTATACTATTTGCTCACTCTTCCTGTGTTTCATGTTCATGTAAACATGGGCCCCTTGTTTAAATGCCCAAATGAGGTAGGTTAGATTGGTTTTGCTGCATTTTGATACTTAACTGAAGATGCCTAGATATTAACATTCATTTTAAGATGTTGACTGGTTGGTTATTTGTTGAAATAGAACACTAGCACTTAGTTTTACCAACATTTACACATGAAAGAAGCAAACAATATTGTTGGCATATTACTGAATTTGTGTATTTCGTAATCGGAAATATTAATTGATGTTGATAACTTTAGGCACATACAGTTTTGTTTGATTTTATGTCAAACATGTTTTTCTTGTTCTTGGCTTTGCAAATATGTTCCCCATTGTTGCCTCCTACTATTTGGATTTATCAGCAGAAGGGTATCATGATGTACGCAATACATTAGACTCTCATTATTAGCTTTAGATGTACATTGGTCAATAAAACATAAGTGATAGTACAAGTTACATGCTTACATTTGCAAAAGAAACTACTATATTACTTCTTTAGTATATTAAGGCTTTAGAAAGGCAGTGAAATTTGGAGACAATTATCAGGTGGAGTTATTTATGTATTAGTATGGTTATGTATTAGAATTTTATACATTTTTTTCTGTTCTGGTGTCATTTATGTATGATTAATTTATGGTTCTCTGTAGAACATTCCTTGACTATATTCTAGATAAATAGTATCTTGGTACTACAAAGAAGTGATCAAGTTATGAATGACATTAACTTGAGAGGAATGGTAAATGGTGCTATAAAGTAACTTGAAATGAAAAGGGGCCTTGATGCTCTGTAGCTTGTAATATTTTGTGATTGTATTCTCGTAAGAAAGGAATGCCCAAGCCTAACAGTTTTTACCTTAAAGTTAATCACTAGGAACAACTATTGTCTAAAAAGAAACGTTTATTATTTGGCAGTGGTACTTCTCAATTTATAAATTATGATATGAATATAAAATAGAGACTGCATTACTAGAATAGCAATCCTTTTGTTTGACTTTCTCATACTTACTAAAACTTACTGTGTTTTATGAAGAATGAAATGCTTTTTATTTTTTATGTTCCCACTTGTATGCCATTTTTCAAACTTCTCAAGAGATGTCATATGTAATATATATTTCGGGTTAGCCAATTCTTCTTCCATGATATTGACAACATGGTTGCAAATTGATTTATTTATTGGATAGTAGGTGATAGAAAGGGGGGAAATTGTGAATGTATTTGTTGAAATACTTTTAATAATATTGATGATTGAGAAGTTTATGTTATTGCATTCTTTTTGCATGTGCAATATTTCGTATCTGTCATTACATATAAGGAAATAAACTTAATTTTCTTTGTATATCATTTTCTTTCTTGTAGATATGTAGGATCGTCATTGGTCTTTTGACTGGTGTAAATATCTTAAAAGGAAAGACCTGAAATGATACAATCCAATTTGAAAGCTTACAAATGCCACAGTGATGCTCAATATTCATCACAGTATCTTTAACCAAATCGTCTTTAGTTATGAACGTATTTGATGAATACAAAGATTTCCACAACAAAAAAGTCAGACTTTTAAAACAAATACTGGTAGTACATATACCAAATGCTTACCTTCAAATCAAGCAGGGACTTTCACCTTTACAATCCCAGATAACAAAATGCATAAATTCCAAATTGCTTTTGTCATGTTTATTGTACAAAAATACATCAAAAAATTTCTCAATTGGCATAAGTCACAATTGGCATAAATCTTGGAGATATGCATCTTTAAATTAGTTAACACAATGTGATCAACACAATGCTTTACTGATGCAAAACCTCCAAATTCTTTGAAGGTTTTATCATTTGCTAGTTTAACCACCGTGTTACCCAGCGCTATGTAAAAAGTTGTTTTTAGCTCAGCATTTTGTGATTTTTGTTTTTTGATAACCAGTGAATATCATTAAAATTACATGCAAATTAACAGGTATGTTACATTCATGATACTGAAAAAAATGTGCAATTTCTTGCATAGTATTTCTCAAAATATTTACAAAAAAGAGTATTCTTAGTAAGATAAAAGACTAGGACATCATACAAACTTCTGCCCAACAGTATTTTGGCCACAAAAAAAATGCACAACAATATTTTGGTTACAAGATAAGGCACAGCAGGCATTACTAAAAAAATAACAGAGAATACCCTGAATTTAAAGCTCTATATTAACATAACACATAATACTTGGCAATTTGTGACTCAGACAACATTAATATATATCTATTTGTTTTACAACCTGGTATTGCATAGCTGTAATTTTTTTTCAGGACAGCTGCCTGCTTTGAGCATACACCTTTGTTGCTGAGCAATATCTTAGATACAATAGAAAATCAGCAGTAATCATTAAATTATATAAATTGTATATGTTAAATGTTATGCCTTATTTTTTACCCCAAACAAGTACTTCAGTAAATTTACTGATAGTACCAAAAGAGAGAAATATTTTATAAGTTACATCAGGCTTGTAGTCTGCAATTTCAAACCAGAATTTTTTGTCTGAAAAAGTGTACTTTTTTACCCTCTTAGTTGACCCAGCATGAGATATGGCATGGAATCTAGATAAAATGTTGATTCACAATAAACTTTTCTAAACAAAAAGGCCTTTCTTCTTAACTGTACATATGAGATAAAAGTATCATGGAGGTGATTTTTTTTTACTCGCTTATTTTGTGTTCCACAGATTTTGAAACAGATGAAGACTTAAAAACAGATATGCAATAAATTTTTGATTTTTTTACACCTCCTTTTAATCTAGAAAGTTCTAGGAATGTGTAAGTTAAAACTGGCATGAAATCATCTTCAGATATATCAACACCACTTTTCATGGTCCTGTGGTGTCTGGATGAAATAGGGGTGTGGTAAAAGGCACTTTCCTTGGAGGTGCGTTCTTGCGTTTTTCATACTCTTCCATCATTTTATCATAATCTGGATGGTTTTGGCGGTAGGAAAATTTCCACCTAAATGAGCTCATCCTTGGAGAGTCTTTAACATAACGACCAAAAATGTCGATTCTTTTTCCCTCTAAATTTTCTGGGGGTGGCTGTGTTAAGTCTGGCATAGGATGGAATGATTGTTCATATCTCTTGAAGTGTTCCGGTGGAAGTATATTCCCTGAAGAAAGGAAAAGTTGGTTAAAAAACAGTTAAATTACCATCATCAAGATAAAAAACAAAAGAAAAAAAAAGCAATGCCAAACTAATATAATAAAACTAAGCATATTTTTTTTTCTTACATGCACATCTAATATTTACATACATTTACAATAGTCTTCATCAACAATTAATATTAACATCTGGTAGATATTTCTTTTTTTTTACTTAAAATACCCACATTACTTTATCATTTATTACTACTCTACAATTTTATAAGAAGTATCTTAAAATTTGACCCTTACCTAATTCATCAATAGGTGGATAACGGCTTTCACTCTTTGCTTTCATATTCCTGAAATCTGCAAGTTCATTATTTGTTCTTCTAATAGCTAAGGCTCTTTTCTTGGGGTCCTTAATTACAGGAGTCTCTTGCAAAAATTTCCCAAAAGTGTATTTACCCACTTTTGATGGTGGTGGAATGTTTAGTGGGTACATAGCTGCAATCATTTCAGAAGTTTTACGCCCTTCTGTCGTTGTGTGAAATCCGTAATGCAGTCGGAAATTTCTCCAAACATTACTGTTATAATTAGGATCTGGTCTCTCAGGATATGGTGCCTGGTGTTTTCCAGCTTCAACAAATAACCGGTACTCAATGGAAGGGTGGCCATATGTTGAATTTTCCAGGCTAGACCTCAGTCTGTGATTGCATTCAATATTGAGCATTGAGCGTGGCATTTTTTTGTTTGCCAGTTTTTCTGTAGGCCGTGGAGTGAATCCTGTGTGTTTGGGAGATGCAGACGGCATCAAGAATTCTCGCTCCTTAATAGTAGGCATTGTTTCAACAGACACCATATTACAGCTCTCTGGAAAAGGAAACGAATTAGGTTACCTGAATAATAGAAATGAGATTATCACCAAAAGGTAAGTATACATGTACACATGCTAGTGTATATCATTTGGTCGTAGAACCATCGGTCTAGCGACGCGTCTGTGTGGTGATGTACTGTACATGTACATGTGTTTATGTACTGTATTGCATCAAGGCTGTATTCAAATAGTGATCTTCTGAATGCCTCAATCAAATCTAGACTTACCAGTAGAAATGTTTTTTTCCTCTACCGAATGCACCTAGCTCACGCCAGTGGATAGCTCGTCGTTTGCCGTGTGGACACGAAATGTCTATATACCAGGGGTTATTAAACTGGCATGACCGCCATCTTTCAACAATATGGAAGTTGCTATGGCAGAAAGCGAGATCTCGTGTTTGAAGTAAATTAATAGGATACTACATCAATTATTGCTTCTCCCAAAATATGATCTAGACTAGTTATAATATATTCATATTCATTCAAACATATGTATTATAAGCAAAAATTATACTTGTAATATACAGTTTCATATAAAATTCTGTCATACATTGTCAAATTATTTACCTTCCATCTGAATTATACTACACTGTGCACAAAAATAAGAGGGAGTAATGCCGGATATAAGAAGAGCAAAAGTATAATGCGCACCTGTTTCGCGCAGTTGCTACAAACCAAGGTGAATTTTATAAACAGGACTGTCATGGCTCTTGACACTGACCGACATTAATAATGTAGAGGCGTTTGACGAGAAAATAATAAGGTAAGTTCCCGTTATAGACGTCCTATCGCATTTACACTTTTGAAGGAATACTATTCGTCACTTACTTATCTAATAGATGGTTCACTGACAACTGCAGGCCCGTACAGCACTACATGTACGGTAGTACCTGCATGCACCAAGTATACTAGTATGTCCATCTTGTCTAGTCTTTCTAGTCTGATGTCTGTGTACAGTGTAGTATGCTGATACAATATTATTGTAACATACAGCGAACACTGTGTTAATGTATGAATTAACATTTTTATTTTATTTATTTATTTATTTATTTATTTATTTATTTATTTATTATCATTAGAAATTATGCACCACCTGTCGAACATGGTTTAAAATATTCCGACAAAAATTCAATTAAATATTTAATGGATATTTTCTGCGACAATATCAGAACATTGTTTGAGTACACACTGTATGTTAATATACATGCACATCAATTATTTCAGAGTTTCACAATGGCTCACCCGTCTGACCACAGTCAGGAGTTGGACCTTCTTAAGTCAATCCTAGAACACACAGGTGGCATTAACCAACTGTATAGCACCTCAGAGTTTTCTAGCAGATCAAGCTCTTTTATGGGAAGACCTGGTAGCAGAAGAAGCTGCCGAAGCAACAGTAGTAATAGGATGGAAAGAGAGAGTGGAAACAGTACAAGCAGTGACAGTAGCAGAAGCAGTGATGATGAAGAAAATGTGAAGCGAAAATCTAATAAGAAAAACCATGAGCACAGACATGGACATAAGCATCACCATGGGCATGGCCATAAACATAAGCATCATCACAGACACCATCACCAGAAAGTAGAAGAGAAACGGTTCTCCAAGGTAGAAAGCAGTGCCACTGCTAAGCTACAAGAGAAGTATCAAGAACTCCAGCGCTTATTAAATGAACAGTATCTGACCCATAAGAATGCGTTGTTGGAGGACCAGCTAAAACACAGCAGGTCTCTACTAACACATTATCTGACCAACAGCCGCTGGAATACTCCTCCACCAGAGTGGGCAGATAAACACCTGAAGAAGACCAGAGAGGTCAAGGTGCCCTCCCCTCGCTATGATACTGGGACCCAGACCAAGAGCGATGATAATAGCTCTAATGGCTCGGGTGTTCACCAAGAACCCAAAGAAGTTAAAGTCAGAGAGAAAGTTAAAAGAAAAGGGAAAACACAGAAGGTGGTTGTTGATCAGGAGGATACTAGAAAACAGGACAAAGGTAACTAAGACTTCTATCTATGTGACAGTCATGTAATGTTAAGTTTATGAATTGTATATTTATTTTTTATACAGTCAGTCTATGGGAATTTTGTTCAAAAATACATTCAAAATACTTGTGATTTGGAGGCTCACTCTGTTGTTCCCAATAATACCCTATAAATATACATTCATAAGGCCATCTTTTTCTTTGTGTATTCACTTTCTATAAAAATACAGTTTAGGTATAGGGGGGGGGTTATTAAAATTCATTACTTGAAAAAGATGTACTGGGACAGCCATTGAGGTGTAAGATGAAGCTTTTCTAATTTAGAATTCAGATTTCCTCTACTCCATATTTTCCATTGATGCAAATATTTTATATGAATGTGTGGTAAAATTTGTTGCATTTATAAGCTTTAAAAGTACCCCATGTTATCTAATTATAAATCATACGTTATCCCTATTTCATTTTTATTGCTCACTTTGTAAAGCCAGATGTGAGATAAGATTTTCTTAATATGCCAGTATAGTACAATATAAACCAACTAAATATATTGTTATACAAAAAAAGAAGAAAAATCACTTTGTAACCATATCAGTATCATTAAGACAAAGCTACTTTACAAAAGATAAATTTTGCAGAGATTCTTAGAAAAAGGATGGTTATTTCCATAAGGAATTCAGCCAATGGGAGTTAATTTCCTGGTCTCCTTTTTGACAGAATAAATTGAAATAAATTATCATTATTTTTTTCAGGTGCTTGCGGTGAGACAGGAAATAAGGGTGATGTATCTAAGCTGGAGGAAAGTTTAAAGCGGGTCACCTTTGCTAACCAAGAGGCGGAAAGTGTGACAAGTGGCGACAGAGACCCTGATTTAGTCATCGACACTGTGGAGCGTGAGATTGCACTTAAAACTGTCCTGAAAGAAAATGGTGAAAAGAAAACAAAGCCAAAAAAGCAACAGATCACAAAGTCTTCCAAAAGTAAAAATAAAGACTTGACTTCCACTGAGAGTGCAATTAAACAAAAGTCTGATAAGTCAGCCTCTCCCACAAGAAGCAGGACTCCTATTGTTCCTACTGACTCTCACCTTGAGAGCACCACAAATGATGAAATTAAGAAGTGGTTACTGGAAAAAAAGAGACTTGAGAGAAAGAAGCGTGCTGCACAGCGAGCTAAGGATAGAGCATTTAGAAAAGAACAAGAGGAACTGCTAGATTTCAAGCGACATCGTCTGGAGGAATCTGCTGTTGAGTTTGATAAGTGGAAACACAGCAAAGAAGTCGAGATTAGGCTTCTTAGAAAGAGAGAAAGAATTTCAAAAGGCAGACCCACTGAATACTCTCCAAGTACCCCGCTCAACATGTCTCCCAGGGGTAAGACCTCTGGTAGTCCCCAGGCACAACGTACCCCATCTCCTGTGACAACCACCCCAAGAGCTTCCCCCAGGACCCCAAAAGAGACCCCAAAGGATGAATCACATCAAGATGATGCCAATAACGAGAAAAAGCAAACTGAAGAAGAGGAGAAAAAGAAAACAATACAAGAGGCTGACATTCCTGACACACTAAGAAACAATATACATACCCAGAAAATTGCAGAAGAGATCAAGCGCCAGTCGAAAATAGCTAAGGAAGCGAGAGAGAAGGCACTGCGTGGGGAAGAGGTTGAGTATGGATACAAGAAACCAGTAGCTGAAAGTAAAGTCGATAGAGCAAAAAGGATAAGTCTTCAGAAAAAGAAAGCAAAAGAAGAAGAGGAGAGAAAGAAAAGGGAGGAGGAAGAGGCCCAAAAGAAACGGATCTCATATGAAGATTGGCTTAAAGTTAAAAAGCAGGAGGATGAAAAAAGGAAGAAAAGGGAGAAGAAACTTGAGGCAGAAAAACGGAAAAACCTTGATCTGAAAGATGTCATACCCAATTTAGCCAAGCAACGTATTGACAGAGCATCAGAAGGAAAAGGGAAGCGAGTTGACAGTGGACTAAACAAAAGCGAAGATCACGACAATTCCAGAAGTGAAAATGAAACCAATGTACAGAGTGGAACCGAGTCGACAGGTTCTCCGCCAACACCAAAATATGTCTGGAAGCCAAAAGATCACAGCTCAGACGACAAAGACGTAATAGACAAAGTAAGTGACGCTAATAGGTCCTTCCCACGTGCTCGTCCACCATCGGCTCGCCCAGTATCAGCATCGCGTCTCTCCGCAAGAATACCAAATCCACCCAGACCTTCAAAATCGCCCGTTCCGCCCAAGAATCGAACTGACCACATTACTGATGAACACCCAAATCCGTTTTCTTCGCCAGTGCCCCCTCACCCGAAAACCGCGGGTCCAAACAGTCCTGCGTTTAGGCGGCACCAGTTTGGAAAGCAGAAAGGAGACGCACTGAAAGGGGAACGCCCAGAACCACAGGGGAGTGATCAGCCCGCCGCTAGAGGGCATTGTGGCGGTGATTCTCAACCATCCGCACAGAAGTCTGCTCCTGATATAACTGTGGAAGACATAGATGGAGACTCGTTGAAACAGAACAATTCAAATGGAAACAATAACAATCATGAAGGAAAACCTGAAGTGGTTGTTGAAGTGAAAAGGTCTCTCTTCCTGACTAGCATAGATTAGTCAAATAGTTTTTATAGTTTGTAGCAGTATAGTTAAATTGTAGCAGTAGTTTAGTAGTAGCAGCTATACATACTGCAGCGGTAGAAATGAAGCATCGTTTCAATTTAAATGTGATATTTCATTTGTGATTTACGGATTAACCAAAGATATTTTTCTGTGCAATTGTTATTCCACTTGCTGCTTCATAGGAGCTATTTTTTCTTGCGTTTTGCCAACCATTGTGAGATTAGATGAGATGTGTTTGATTTTTTTCTTTTTTTTTGTCTTTGAGCGATCATATATATAGATCGAATGTGATGGTGGATATTCATAAGCGTGCTATCACTGCTGCTGTACAAATGTAGATGGGGTCTTTTTATCAGTGGGTTTCATCATTGCTGCACATGCGCGCTTGTACGCACACGCATGTTATCAGCTTCCAAATATTAAAGATGTATTTTTGCACAACATATCGCCGTAGGCACCAACACATTATTGTAAGGTTCATATGTGACATTTTTACCCCATATATGATACTCTTAGCATTTTGTTCTCAAGACACTTTTTTATTTTTCATAATTGTGTACGTAGGTTACTGTAGATATTAAACAATGTAAACGCACATTTTCAAAAAGAAACATTCCATTCATGTGTTTACAAACTCTTATAAAAATAGATTTATGCCATAAGTCTTTGTACTGTTGTTTTGTTTTGTAGTTGAATGAACTTGTTCCCATTTCTGTTACACTTCATTGTAGTAGAACGGTATGGATTTTGTTCTTGTTTCTATGTTAATGTATCTTAAATTTGTTTTTCATCATAACATTTGCTCAGCAAATAAACGCTAGACTTTTCAAAAGAAATGGCCTTATTAGTTCAACAGGTGAAAGAAGATAAACTTTAATGAACTTCTGCAAGAATGGCAATTTTTGTCCCGTGCGTATAAAACGACTCATTCGCGAGGGTGTTTACTTATAGATTTGAACTATGGAAACTTTTGACGTGCTTCTTTTATTGCAGCATTTAACCAGCCAAACACGTGAAACACTGTGCAAACTGTCGCTAAGAAATTCATATTAAGGTTTTGTTTTGTAACATGAATTCACACGATTTGGCATCTCTGGCATGTGCGCGTACATGTATATTCTTTACACATTAGTATGATAATTTTTATTTGATGCGTTAAGCGCTCAAGCAATTATTGTAAAACGTTTGCTGCTAAAACATTATAAACCATAATTTAAAACATCAACAGAATACAGCTCCTATTTACATTATAGAGAGTTTGATTGATTTGTATCAAAATCAAACCCTTTTAAGCGATTTACAAGACCAGTAAGAGTAAATGACAAGCAATATTTAAAAATGGGATCTTTTTTTCACAGTGTGTAATGATATGTGGTTGAATTATTGGTCAATTCTCCATGAAACGGATTGTGATCATGCTTTTGATACTTTTGCATTTATGCTCAGTATGAACCTTACTTTACTCAATCTTTCAAAACATTGTTGCTCAACGTATTTTCGGGTTGATCCATTTGATTTCTGTGTCCCCCATCAAAATTCCTTATCATCTCTGTCTCATCATTATAAGCTTTCCGATTTGAGTCTTTTTATCAATATTTATTTTTATTACAGCCTGTAATATGTTTACGTTTAAATCATGAACAGTTCCATCATATATTATAAATGCCAATCACAAAACTCGATTCATACTTGACAACACGCCAAATCCGCTTTCTCGCTAGATGGCAGCACCCGCTTGAAAAGCGAAGAGCATATCTTATTTTCCTTATAACAAATTGATAAGTAGGCCCGTTGGGACACTTTATTAATAGTGAAGATTACACCGTTGAAATATGCTCAATACCACCTCCTTTGCATGTATCGTGAATTTTGGTATTCTTTTTCTTTCTTTAATGTATGTTCAATTGTTCTTGAACATCCTTGCCAAGAATAAAAAAGTTGCATTGTCTCTTCACATGGACCTAAATAGTCATGTCTTTTGCTTTCAAAGAACAAAAACTCCCGTTGCACTATAAACATAGGAAAGGAAACGACAACGCCACTTTCATTAGTTTCACAATTTTTATTTGTAATTTCAAACAATTTGTTTTTGGATCACACGTTATTTCTGATCGAATATTTCCAAAGCTGTGGAAATTTGGCATATCTTTATGTACAATAAGAAAGTTACTATTTTGTGCTGAACACACCAGTATTGTCCAAACTAAGTGTTCTCTTGTCGTAAAGACTGGCCAACTATGTAATAAAGCCTTCTTAATATTCCAAGTCATCCGTTGTTTGCAAAACTCTAGAAGCCGAGGAAATATTCGACCACAGATAATAATATTTGATAAATACAATAGTTGTTGATTGTTTGGCAATATCACACTTTGCATATGAAAAGAGAAGCTAAAATAAGAAATACCTGCTCTCATCAAGGAAAAGAAAAAGGTAAAAGATGAATCCCTTTGAGACTCTGAGAGATTCTGCTTGGGAGCAATAAATATATTTCTTTAAAACCGCAAAATCGAGTCTAAGGTATGCATTTATATATATATATCATAGTTTGAGATAGCCGCTAAATTCCAAACTGTTCTTAAAGGAGATTTAAGACCGGGGTGCAATAGATTAACACTAGGCAATTCGGTGTGGTCACTCTCAACTACACATTTGTGACCTTTGAGGTAAAAAAACAACTACAGGAAAGTTATTCATAGCGAGCATGACAATAAAATCTACAATGAATATGAGAGCTCGGAAGTGGAATAAAACTACAAAATGACGATATTTACACAATTTTACAATTTACAAGATACTTTTTGATAGCATAACGACCCATAACTCTTTGAAAGTCCCCTGTGGTGTTTTCAATGCAATTATGCTCAAAGGAATCCCTCTTCTAAGTACAAATTTTATCTTATCTACCTTCTAACATTTTATGGCATAAAACGAAATGAGTTTTATCTAAGTTCGAAAAGTGCGCATGAACATGCACGATGATGGGGTATATTTTCACGTTATTATGCTATGGCATGAAAAGCCCCACGACCGGCATAGTGTTTTGTCTATTTCACCTCAGAGGACTTTCAGTTGTTAGCTATCCTTCCATTGCGTCCTCCACTTCGGGACACCCTCGACACACAATCGATCGCTAGAACGAGATTATATTCCACGCGCACGTTGCGTGTCAAACAACCACTGCTGCCTACATCTGTAATAATTGCTTAACATCCTATAGCAATAACTACATCATATCGCAAATTGTCCCCCTATGATTATATTTTGTAATGGAATGTATGTTTTCTTACTCAAGAGATTTGAAAGCGCGAATGGATCTATTTTACAAGCGTTAATTTCTAAAGTACCAGCTGAGTTTCGATTCTCACTTTACCATTATGAGTAATGTTATGACACTTCCCACACATTTACGAAATAGTCCCGTGTCAACATTTGAGCGTTGTGATTTGACACACCTGTCCCTTAGCCCCACCCCTGGGTCAGACCCATACCATATCCCCATGACTTTTCCCATCCCGCCCTCAAACTACTTCCACACTTTTGTTTCATCTCTCTGCAAACCCCCCAACCTGTATCACATTCCGTTATGTGGAAATGAACATAATAGGCTTCGCATTGTCAACACATTAATAGCATAGACAAATTGAGCATGAGCAATTATCAAATTGAATAACCGTAATAATAATAATATTGATATTAATACTGTGCACATTATACATATAGCACTGATGAGAGATCAATACAGTCTTACAATAGAAGATTCTTTAGATTTGAGCCAGGGGCATGTTAAAGATAGGTCCGACTTTAGGATCCATTGGGAACCCTTTCCTCATTCCCATGCACGCCTTGGAGTCGATGGATAGGGAGTTCTCCTTCACAGAGATGTCGTGTTCCAAGGTCGACTTGGTCTTCATCAGGCGAGCTAAGCTAATCTCGGATTGTCTCAGCTTCTCCTTCAGGTAGCGGACGGACTCTCTGATCTCATTCACCTCCTTCTGCAGACTGGAAAGAAAGGAAAATAAATCATATAATTAGTCGTTTGATATATTAAAACATGGAAATTGGCCATTTTTTTGTGCAAAGCAGTGAAATATGCACTTGACATATTTCCTTAGATCTTTTTAATTTTAACTACGGTTTCAACAAAAGTCTGACTTTACCCACGCCAAAAAAAAAAAAAAAAAAAAAAAATTCTCAAGGTACTCACGTTCTCATCACTGGGTCGTTGCAAAGTTCCACGTTCTGTCGTCTGCACCTCTCATCCAGCCGGGTCTGGGCCACCTTCATTGGTGCCTCCTTATCATGGATTGCCTTACGCAGCAGCTCGATGTTCTTCTCCATGTCGAAGACCTCTTGCATGGTCTGAAAGTATTGTGTGACGTTAATTTTTAATCCTTTTCATAAAAAAGCTTTCGAGCACATGTATTGTAGTTGGGAAGAAAGAAAGATTTTAAAAAATCTTCATCACAGCCTGATTCAAAATATAAATACAGTAGGTACTCACTCTGTTGAGATGGGCCTGCAGTTTGTTCCTGGCGTCTGTGGATTCTCTGATACGCATGTTGAAAGAGTTGTTAACGTGGTTGAAGACGTTCCACATCTCATTGGCGCAAGCGCGCAGACAAGCGTCGATCTCACCACGCAGACGCTCTGAGGCAGCTCTCTCCTTCTGTGATCTCAGGATGTTGTTCTGGGTAAACTTAACCCATGTGTGGGGGACGCTGATTCTGTTAGAAGAAAGTAAAACACGTGAAGCTTTCTTGCAACGACTCAGTTCGGTTGATCTTGCAACCAGCCGTCATGGATTTTGCACATTGGTACGAGTAGGTGGGGCGTCAAATATGGTCATTTTGAATCGTTTCTTACTTTTATCTTTGCTGTATGTAATATATCAATTAACAACACCACAAAATAGAGCAACTTACGTGTTGTCTACGTTCTCGATGCCAGGGTGGTAGCCAATGCCCATGGAGGTGTTCCTAAGCTGGTGCATACGGTCGTCAAGGTGATGGGCGTGGTGTTTGTCCTTGGCGTCTTTCTCCATCTCGTGGAGGGCTGCACGGTCCAACCTGAGAGAAGCAATGAGTACATCAGTGACTGCATGAACTTAACAATCTGCTGCATCTTTAAAACTTGTTGCTTAGCAACATTACGGACATTATTTCTAACCTATGTCACTTTTTTAAATGTTGTCAATTGCTAGAAGGCGAGATCGGGATGTCTTATTGAAACCAGGGGTCCGTTTCACGAAGCTGTCGTTAGTTAGAATAAATAACGACAGAAGTACCTTAGCAATTTAGCGAAAACTTAGCGATTTTCGAGTGGTATTTCATGAAGTTAACGTTAACCCATAACAGAAAATGGTAACTAAAAAACCTTTTAATTTCATTCATTACGCATGTGTACGATGAAACAGTCGTTTTATATCCATGGTAACAACGAGACAATAATAAACGAGATGACTATCGGTAGCTTCGTGAAACAGCACTCATAACTAACGAGGTCTAACGACTGATTGCTAACCAACGAAAGGTTCGTGAAATGTGTTCACTTTAGGTAATCGGAGGAGTCAAGTAAACGTGAACGTACTTCAGTTGTGCGTGTGCTCTCTGCAGCACCTTCCTCATTCTCTCCTGACAGTTCTTGATGATGAGAACTTCCTTGCTCAGGGATCTCTCGACGTCGTCATGGACCATATCAATGCCCTGGCGCTTCTCACGGTGCAGCAGGCATTCCTCGGCAATATGAAGTGGGTTGTTAGTGTCCATGTAAGCCTTCTCCAAGATCCTCTTGTGCTCCTATGAAAAAAAAAAGATATGTAATTTATACAACAAGTTTAAGAGAAAGTCTTCCCTTGTGACGTTTAATGGAAACATTCAGCTTGAATATAGTTACCATTCAAATTAATTCTACTTAAGAGTGCAAAAACTTAATTTTGTAGGACATGCAAGTTATCTTAGTTTTGACATATCGCTTTTTGGTTGATTCGATACTCATTATTTTTTTCAGAGGGAAAATGACAACTATTCAAATGGTAAGCAAGATTAAGCACAAGTTGTTAAGCACCTATATTATGTGGTAAGGTAGACAACTGGATTATGTCGGATTCTAACAGGCCAATCATGAATTTCTCCATTTATAAATACCCATTTTACTTTGCTTAAAGTCACATATTGTTACTACGTTACTATGGGGCCAAATTTACGTTGCCGTTTCAACATTCATCATTTTCGGCCATTCCTTTTCTTTGTAAATATAGTCCAGCTGTTGGTCTAAGTTTTGTCTCTTTTAAAATGATAGCCGATCAGAAAACACATCATCCAGTTTTAAGGCAGGTTACACCACGCTAGGTATGTAGCACCCCTAGCTCCATGTCTCTAGGCAATCAATATCACTATACCCTCAGATTCTCAATCTCATTCTCCATAGCTCTGCACTCATTGACCAACTCAGATTTCCAAAAGTGGATGTCCGTAGAGCGCTCACCTGAAGAAAAGGGCTCATGCATATACTAGTAGAAAGAGTGCCGCTAGGGAAACCACTAAAATAAACTGCGGCAGCGTGTGAAGTGCAGCTATAGTTACATGCTGTGTTCAGGACTCTGTGCTCATAAGTGACAGTCAATCAAATTATATCAAAAGATTATAAGGAAAAAGCCAAAATATTTTACCAAAATATTTGCGAATTATATTTTGCACAAGAGATTTTGCTAGCGTTTTGCATATTTCTTTATGTTATTAAATGGTAGTCAATTATGAGGATATTGCCCTTCTAACACAACTAAAGCATACACGGAGGGTTGTCATGGATTACGTCAAAATCCATGACAAACCGCAAAGCAGGAAGGAGGGACCGTCTGTCTGAAAAAAATGGAGAAAACGCACGCACAAAAGGGGAAAATCAAAATGAAGGAATTTTGATACCAGTACCTTCAGATTTTCAATTTCATTTTCCATAGCTCTACATTCATTAACGAGCTCTTTTTTCCAAAAATCTATATCTTCCACTCTCTCGCCTGAAAACAAACATTATCAGTAGGATTAGTGGTAATAATTGCTTAAGTACACTCATGTGAAGAGACAGTCACATAGCAATGACTTAAGGATGAAAATCTTTATTCAAGTGACATATTATCAGATTATGAATTTTATTCTTCTGAGGCGAGAGGCTTTTGATTGCACAATGAAGTGCAAGTGTGTAAATGTAACATTGAGTGTTCAATGGATCATTATTATGAACCGATCACGTAAGCATTCTTGATATTAACACTCTGTAGAGCAATTTGTAAAGTCGTTATCCACGTCTGTGAACTGAGCCCAAAAAACATTACATGAAACTGACATTTTTACATTTACTTCAATTCTAATTAAGTTTACGGGTCTATACAAAGTGACAATCTACAGGCCGTTTTTAAGTGATTTTTACCGGCCAAACGGCCGATTCCATAGTGGCTGTCAACCTACTGTCACCTACCCAATCTCTTGGTGACATCAGCCTGTCTATTTCTGGTCCTGTGGTCGGTCTCCTTCACTGCCCGCCAGGCGTCAGCACGGAGACGTTCGGCGAAGGAACGCTCACGGTCGGACATGTGATAGTTAGCATGATTGGAGGAGCTCCAGTCGCCGTGAGAGAAGCGGTTGTACAGCTGCTGCCTGAATATTAAAAAAGCGATAAAATAGATTAATAGAAATAAATTATAATTTTCAAATTCATTATAAACATCATTATTAATCATTATTAATTGATTAATGACATTTATTTATGTAAACATGGTTACTAACCATGATAAAACAGTCACGCTACTGAATGACATCTGGTCACTCACCAATAACATTAACATCATGTCACAAAGCAGACCTAGGACTTTGACTCAATCATAATAAACCGTTTCAATGGCATATAATATCAGAAAACAAAAAAAATCATTGTAGGCTATTAATCTTTTTGGAGGCAATGTGCAACATGCACGTGGTCCTTCGCCACAAGTCGAGAGTGACAAGAAGTGTTCCTCACCTTGCAGGGTTGAAATATGTCCTGGCATGGCCAACGTCCTTGGTTGCTTTATGTCCGGTAGAGTAACCAATAGGAGCAATTCTGCCGATGTCAGGAGTCAGAGGAGTGGCGCTACGTGTGCGAACCACTGGGGAACTGGCGTAATACACTGCCATCGTAAACTGAAGAAAAGAAAAGGCAATAACATTGTTAAATTTGTTGTTAAATATCAAAATCCAAGAACATAAACGGAAATCCTAAATTTTGGAATTTGAATTGTATCATATGATGAGCTCCGCTTGGTGTTTTTATTTTAAATAATCTCTGACCCCCCCTTTAATTGTATTTATTTTGAGTTTTATTGAACATTTTTATTCAAATAATTTTATTCCATTCAATAGACGTAAAAAAGTTTCTTTGTTGCTCTTTATAAATTGTATTCCAATTGTATTCCGCCAGACAAAATAAATAGCATTCATCTCATAAATATAGATATAAGACATTATATCTATATTCAATGCCAACCCATGCTCCAGAAATAACACCTATTTGCATTGCCTTCAGGTTGTTTCATTAGCAGTAACTTTTCCGGCTTGAGTACCCTCGTTATTTAAACAGGCTCACATTAATATTTCATAACATCCACTTAATGGGCCTCAACAGAACACATTCCGCGTGTTTATCAATATTGAATACTCATTCACGGTGGTGTTTGCTGGCTGATTATCGGATACTTTCTGATTCATCTGCTAAAGCCGTGTTTAGACGGGCTTTCAATAATGCAGGCCTCTCGAGTTATATCCAACCTCTTGTGTGTGTATTGCCTGACCGCCCGTGCAATGTGAGGGCCAGTAAAACCCTTCACGTTCACTTAACAGTGTTTGCAGCCGTCATTTCAAGTGGGAGAGTTATTGACTTGTAGTTCGCATCGAAAGCGTGACAGATCCAAGAATTACCGGCGTTCGTTTGGCTGGATCTTCATTTCTTACGACATGAGTGGTTTCAAGTACCAGTGCGTTGCTATGAGCAAACTATTGAAGACATTTATGGCAAAGCGAGTTGCTTGCATTGTAACAGCTGATTTTGTCTCACTGCGTACCTATCGGGCAATTGATCCCGCGCGATTTTTGGTGAGTAAGAAAAATCCATGGATATTTTTGGTCACAGAATAGGAGAATGAGAAGACTCGACTGCTCCTTGCCGGAATATTGATAAATGTGGAATTGTTCAAGAAGCGCTACCTTTATCCAATTACCACAATGATAATAACATCGATAAACCAGCGCGAAATACCGCAGTTTCCTTCTTTCAGTCGTGAATAAAGGGAAGATCGATAGTTAATAATCTCTACCCGTTGCCATTTCGTCTTAATTAATCTGCAGCAAGAAGCATGAATTAAATATCAGGTGTACGAATCATCGTCCAGCATAAAGGCGTTAAAACCAAATGACTGAACGAGGTTTAATCTTATAAAAATTGGAGCAAGCCGCTGACAAGGGTTTTATTTTGATTAAAATAAATTAAGTAAATTGCAAAAGAAAAGTTGGTCATATTGACAAAATCAGAGAAATAACAAGAACGATACGTCTGTTATCAAAGTTCAAAAGCTTTTTGGATCGATCTTGTACTTTTTAACAATAAGATCAATCTCTGCTTTCAAACATTATCGATTGCCGATCACCCGACCAAAGCCTAATCTGTACCCATAGCTTCAGGGCAATCGATGAGGTTGAGAGGGAAAACTATTAGGAGACAACTTTAGAGCTTTCGTTCAGGTTGTCACAACAAACTGGCGATTCTAACCATTTTCGTTTTTTTATCACATTTTAAGCCTATTTTGTTTTGTTCATTTGTTCATACTGTTGTTTACTACTTTCATACGTATTTTCATCATATTTAAGATTGTGAAATGTACTGTAGTTTCCCCCCATAATATACTTCTTGCATTTTAGCTATTTTAGTTAAAATGTAGCGATGTTGATTTGAAAATGATGTATTTTATCGGTCTTTTTTTCTGTTACTCAAAACATATCATAAATAAACATTTCAAGATATCTTCTTTAAACTATGATGCCATCTATTGCAAAATGATGATGTTACTCATTATCATGTTTAGACCGTAAAATCTAATTTGAAACCCTCGCTTTAATAAATTTTTTCATTACAATTTAAATTACTGCACCATGGAATTTGTCCAATTATTTTGATATTACGAAAATCCTGTGAGGAGATAAGATATTCCATTTATCAAAAAATGTTGGCAGTTCTCTTTCTCTCTCAATCTCGTGTTCCAATTACTGGTATTAGAAAACTAAAAGTTATAATGCCGTTGTAACAGATATTAATTTCATCAATGAAAGTCGGCGTCTTTTTAACACTTTCATCACTGTTATACAAGATTCTGATAATTTATGGTTGCTACTTCAAAACTTATAACCGAAATACGCTTTAAGTCCTAAATTGGAGTAGAGGAACATAACTTTGACCATAGTAATACTATCAAAGAGACATGGCACGGCCAGTTGAACCTCTTATGAATGAAAAAAGCAAACAATCGAGATGAAATACTGATATGATACAAACATTTCTTACCTTGGTGTGTCTATTTGGGTTCTACAAAGGCTAGACTAAACTACAACAAGGCGAGCAGCCCACGTGTATGATTTCTTGCCGAGATTGAACAATAACTAAACAAAGTTGTAAAGGCTGGGCCTCATATAGAGGCCTGGCGTCCATGGTGATCGCCCTAACTACGACGGTCACGTGGACCACCCCTTTTATCAACAGGCGGATTAATCAATTAAATGTAAATAAATAAAAACAATATGGCGGGTCCGCCCGGGGAACGATTGCCGTGGCGAGGATTTTTAGATCGACAAAAACATTGTTTGAATGGGATTTTCTTATCCACATCAGCTCATTTCGGTGATTTGGATGACGCAAAACTGACCTCCGATATTTGATTCTGCAATCGCTTGCGAAGGAGAGCAAAACTCTTTCAAAACCAGAAGAGACTACGTCCAACGAAACTTAGCACAGCATTCGCCGTTCAATTTAAAATGTTCAGGATGAGAATGATTTGAGCTGTACACATATTTCAATTTCACATAAAAAGGTGTGGATTTTCAAACTGGGCTAACGAAGAAAATTCGTGATCTTGCAGGAGGATGTATAAAGGATTTGTCGACAATAGGGCGGCTTCTCTATGTAACACCAACTAGACATAAAATGGAAAGAGTCAAATACTGCCATTTTACTTCCATTTATGGATTTCAGGTAATACTTTGGGTGATTTCTTGTACTGTTTTGTTAGATCGTCTGACAATCCTGACAATGTTTGGTCAACTTTAAGAACTAAAATGGTAGACATATCGGACATTTAAAAGCATCTGTCGCAATATGCCAGTTGGACTTTGTGCAAACTTTTAACTATTTCAAATAAAACTTAAAACCAAATTTATTTCATATTCCCTTTCTTCATTGATACAAAATTGCGTTGTATTTTGGTTTTACTTTCTCCATACATTCCAATGTGTTTATTTTTATTATTTTAGTCGAAAATTTCTGGTTTAGTCTCCGTTCAAAGTGTACTCTTCATAAGATTTTAGTCTATCTAAACGCTTTATATAACTAAATAACTAGCAATACAAGGGTTTTTCGCTCACTGACAAAAAGTGAATGAATTGTTCCTCTTTTTTTATACAAATGGGATATGTTTGTATCTGTTCCTAATCCTCGTTCTACATTTCAAAGACTGATTTTTACAACGTAGTATCTCAAATGGTAAAACATATTCATTGGCCCACGTTTCCTCTGTAAGGGAAATAAAAATATTTCGTACTAAGTCCTATTGGAAAAAATAATATTACCTCAAAAAACATTACACATCTCAAATATCATAAGCAAGATAAATCACTATAGTATCAATGTTAGCAGCAATGAGCAATTATAGATTTTTTTCACTGATCTTTAAAACTGTGGTGACGTCATAAGATGCTTGAATAAACTCAGTGAGATCACCGCGATAAAATGGGAAACTTTAGGATTTTGATGTATCTCAAAAAATCCTTGGCAAGTTGTTTCAGTCAACGCACCTGCTACTCTATGAAGTAAACAGGCCGCCTTTATGTACTGAATATCAAAAGGTTTCCATTTGTAAAATGAACATGCGATTAAACACTTTGTAAGTCCTGTTTGGGCATAAAGTGTTGCTTCTTGTCGGGGCTTAATCGCTTTGTTCTGTGTGAAAGAAAATTTGTTTTAGAATAACATGGCATTTTGAGCACTGGTGCTTTTCACAAGGAAAGGTTGACTCCGACGCGTTTATCAACCGCGTTGTAATGGTGTCGATACTGCTAATGCAAAGGAAGGAAAGTTTGCTGCTCTACGCCGTATTGTTAATTTCTAATCGACTGTGACTTCTGAAAAAACATCTCTAAGTAATTAATATTTCGGCCTTTCTAAGTACCTGGCTCACGAGGTATGGGGTAACTTGCTCTTTGACTTTTTTACTTAGATAAAATTGTGTAATGCTGTTGTTGTTTTTTTCACTTAATTAATTTCTAGGTTAGGGCCGTTGGCATAGAGACAGCTTTCCCTTTCTCTATAGCTTTTATTAGATTTAAGAAAACGAGTACAAATTTTATTTTTCCCCCATGTTATGTGTGTTGCACTTTGCTGTAATCTGAAGCATGTTCTTATTCCTAAATATGTTTTTTTAATGCTAACCAATTGGATTTTAACATTTATAGCTACCTGAGTAATTTTCCCAATTCAATCTTATCGAATTTTATCACAAATTTTGACCTGGTGTTTGCATATCCTCAACCCCACCCGGGGGCGCTTATCAAGATAAGTAAATTACTAAGCAATGCACACCGGATTTGTCTGTTTGTGCGTAAGGACAAATAGACATATACAATATGATTAGGAATATAAGTTAAAATAAACTCTAGCCATTTTTTTGTGTCTAGAGTTTATACGATGTCAACTTGCTCAGGCGTCATGTCAAATTTGGAGATAATCCTTCTGTCACCGCGCAGTTGCCGAGTTACTTAAAAGATTAAACTAATATCAAAAATAATGTCTCCTGTCACAAATAAAAGCGGCCAAATATTATTTCGATTTTAAGCGAACTGGTTTTTAACACGAGACCCTATCTCATTAACCTCTGCGTTGATTTAAGTCAGGAAAGTAAATCAACAGTGTGTACATTTCAGACTTGGCCCCGTTTACCATTTGACAAAGGCGTAAACAGTTTTTCATTTACTTGGAACTAAATCTTAGTTTCCCATTTTATCACCGTGATCTCACTGAGTTTATTTAATCTCACACACACACACACACACACACACATACGGTCATTTACACACACATAAACTTTAATTTACACACACATAAACTTTAATTGACAATCTACGTATCACCAGTTAGCAATGATCAGATTTATAATCTATATTCAACTCTTCTCTACAAATCGACACTGAATATCAATAGCACAGTGCTATAAAGACTTGATTCAAGGACTGACAAGTAAGATTAATGAAGCTAGTTCATGTAACTTAACACTGAAGAGTAGATTCTGGTATTAAAGAAAGTGTTTGCAGCTCAAACAGTATTACTTCATAACTTAGCATGCGCAAAGGAGTTGCAACTAATTCGGCAATATAAAATGCCAGTAAATGTGTAACATAGAGTTTGGCGCAGCACTTGGTTACGCTAACAAAAAGTCGGAAATTATTATGTTTTTTTCCTTATAAATCATTGCCCGTCAAGTCTTAAAGGTGTCGGAATGTCACCGAGCAAAAGTAATGCATAGTTATGTTTCTTGAAGTACAACTCAGATTACAGCCTGCAAGTGCGACTTTTCGTTGCTATGGGCGCCATGCGTGGTGTTCGGTTACAAATCAATGGGGAATAAGTTATTTTTTGCGCAAATTTCCGCAACAAAGTACTGAAACATTGCTCTAATCGATCCCCACCCGGTGCTACCCAAAGTATATACAAAAACTTGATGAAAAGTGTTTAAAACAGAAAAAATCCTCACCTACCTTCGGATGTGAAGCACTCAGCCTACGACGCTCAATGGGTATAATTGGTAACGAAGGGAAATCTCAAACCCTTAATGAGCATGCGCGACGGATGAATAGGTTATTTATTATTCTGGCTTTATTGGTTGATCAATACGGTGTGTATGGGCTGCGTATTATTCGCACCTATAGCTTTTGTGAGTTATGGTAAATGACATTGTATTCGACAACGCTTTGAATAATATTGGGGGACTTAATAGAGGCGGTGATCTCATGACATGCGAGTTATTACCGACAGTAAAAGCAAACAATATCTGACCAACGATTATGCGTCAGAAATGTTAGAGGCACTGAATAAAGAGCCGCGTGGTCTTATTTGTTCCGCGGTGACGCAAGTCCTGTCATAGCACTAAACGGCCTGTAATGCATGGTTACATCGGACGCTGAACCTCTTTAACAACTGACCCGAGTAGCTATGGCGATGTTTAGTGAAATCATTCTACTTCTTATCATTCTTTAGTCACAATAGAAATGGGTATATTAACAAAATAGCATTCAAGTTATATCTAAATGTTTTCAGAACAAAGTTCAATTTCGGTGGCAACAGGCCTGAAGTGAACTTGATGCTCCAGCGATACAAGGGCATGTTCAGGATTTCTGTAATATGATTACAGAAACTTGGCAAGCTTGGAGGGAGAATATCTTTCTCGATTTGTAGGAAGCAACTTAACCAGTGTTTCATTTAATATTTAATATATGGGTTGGGTTGTTTTGCATTGCTTATTTATTGTTTTTCATTCATTCATTCATTTGTTTATTTATTTATTTTCAATCGAAGCGGGCGTGGCGCGGTAGTCTAGTATCTGGAGAATGTTCTCAAGGGTATTCGTACGGCAGAAAATCAATGACAACTATCGGAATTTATCTCAAGTCTCTCTGAATGTGAATTTGCTCATCGCGCCAGATTATCGCATCGTTTTGCATACAAGATATGAGTTAGCCGACCATATGGATATCAGTAAATGTTTAAGTTGTATATAGGCAATTTCTCATTTCATATTTCTACTGTCGCTTCGAACAGTGGGTGCAACTGAATAATCGTGCTTTTTCAAATATTGGAATTCTGTGCTGGCGCTTGTTATGTCATTCGTTCTTATGTTTTCTGAATACACACATTTTATTAATTAAGTGGATTTTTATCCTGAAACCTTATTCATATTTTTTTTTGTACCAGTGGAACAGTAAAATAAAATAAGTGATTGTAAAAATAAATAAATAAAAACTGCGTCGACTGATAAAAAGAAACATTTTATTACAATCCGTTGTATTTATTTCAATAATTTACCGGAGACACGCTTTTTACATATGATGAATCTCTCTTCTGATAACTCATCCCATCACAAAGAAAAAAACAACATGATAACAATGAACAAAAAAAAAACTACAATATAATTCAAAGTAATAATGTAACATGGTGCCCCAAAATATCATTCCAAGGTACCTAAAAACTGACAGGCTAATAAATTAATTTTATTCAATTGCGCCATTTTTGCCGCTCTTTTGTCCACAGCCAAATAAAAACAAAATAATAAAAGCTGAGGCAATGTCATTAAAACACCATGTCAAATGTAAGTATTATCTAAAACAAAACAGAAACAACAATAAGTTAAAAGTGAATCCATAAAATAAAACACTACCACAACCGCAAGTTACAGGCCCATGTTTCTCTCTAACAAGACCTTGTATTGAGCAACTACATCAAAACGATATCCATCTACTTTGTAGATTCTTGGGTATAAAATGTTCCACTTAAATGCTCCTATTATCCTATCTATAAGTCTATGTGTTTCAAAGAAACAAGAAACATTCTTCTACACTAATATCTGGACACATGTTCAATAAAACAAATCAAGTAAGCTTCTGAGGCGATATGTAAGGGCCCCTGGTTATAGTTTATCGACTAGGGCATTCGCCAGAGATCATTGGTTCCCAAATAAGCTTATCCTTCTCATGCCAGTTCTTAGGGGGTAAGTTGCCTGCCCCTCTTGTCGTATTTAGGTACCGTAGGTACCATTCCGTTTTAATTCTTTTAACCAAGACGAGCAAGCTGTCTCAAAGGGGCGAGCGCTGGAATACAGACGGAGTTTCTCTGACCAGCAATCCGTATTCTTGTTTACACATTAAAATGCAATGCCTGAATAGAAATCCTTTCTGTTAAAGTGCTGCCAGCACGTAAATATTCACGTGCGCGATTTTTACGAGCATGGCTGGATTATCCAAGCACAAAATCCTTAACCTTCTTTGTTCTAAAGCTCTAATTTATATCAAATTTCAGTCATAGATTTTCGTACTGCAATATAAATCTTCCATACATATCGATATCTACATAAATAAGTTCTCACTTTCCGAGAGAAACTCAGTATCACGAGAGTCCTTTATTCCCGTTACTTTCCTCCACTTCCATAGTGCACGTTGCACCGTGCAGCTGAGGCAGCACAACAGCCTCTGGGTCTGTCTTAACCTTGACACTGCCAGTGAATTTCATTCCCGCTAATGACAAGTCTGTTGGCTGATCCTGATCCTCAGAGGATCCAAAAGAGTCCGATTCCGAGGGAAAACAAGACCTGTCACTATTTCTGTACAAAGAGGAATGTTCCATGGATACAGGGGCGGGGTCTAAAGTCCTGCCGCTTTCCTCGAGGGATTCGTCACCGGAGTACGGACTGTAAGCCTCCTCTTCATTCGCGCTGTGTTCCGCGGTTGTGGTGGTCTGATTTGCAGTAGGCCTTGGGTGAAGTTTTGCACCTCGTCTGGCACGCTTGATCTCCATTGGATGATGAAGGAATCTATGAAAAAAGAAAAATGGTTGAATCCCATTCTTATTTATCTATTTATTTGATCAATGTTTTTTATCTGACATTCTCTTTGTATGTATATTCGTATTGTATAATTATTATTAATATAATAATAATTATATTATTATTATTATTATTATTATTATTATTGTGGAGAACAGTAGCAAAATACACCTAAGGCTCAACCGACTCATTCATACTACTGGTCAAAGTCGCAACTAACGCACTGTCATTTCTATAGACAACTATAATACAGCTCTATAATAATCTAGAAATGTCGCGCACACAACACTCACTTGTAAGTCAGCCTCTTCCCAGGTACTTTCTGAATGATATCCATCTTGTAGTAGTAACGTAGAGCTCTGGACAGTTTCTCGTAAGTCATATTAGTCCTGTTCTTCTGTATGCCCCAGAGTTGCGCGAGGGCGGTCGGGTTGACAATGCGAAATACCAGCTGGTCGTAGTCCTCCCAGCGGATGTACGCAGAATACGTGTTGTCCATCAAAAGGCGGCTGATAAACTCCCAAAGAAGGCGGAATTCTAGAAAGAAACCATAATACTCGATAAATATGTCGCCTTCTTTACTCATTTATCTGTTCAATAATCTTTATTTCTTTTCAAATATCATATGTAGGATAACGTAGGAGTTTTGTTGGATAATCTAAATGCTAGGGCATATTTTTTTAAAAAGAGAGATGTAACCACAACTTATTTTAAATATTATTCAATTAAACCATTGTAATGTCAAAAAGACCAATCAATTTGTATAACAAGGCATGATGCATAATTCATTAAATTTCCCAACAAAAAAAAATCCACAACAATTAGTGAGATGTGTCATGATGCGACAAACCAACCAGGAACAGCGTCGTCTGTCACACGTACAATATACGGTCACTAGTCACACACATATCAAGAAATGCGTGAGCGTGAAGGAAAGCTTTATCAGTAATATATTGCCCTCTCTACCGTGATAATATACAACGCGGTGACACGTTATCAGCACGCTAACCACAAAATGGCTGTTTTTCCGCCTCGTCTGGAAACGGACATAACAAAATGGCATCTATTTCATGGTCGCGCGTTCAGCGAAATATATTCTATCATAAAAAGTGACTAGACTAGTTAGCGACGGGTGGACTCACGTAAGCTTTCATGCGGTCCCTGCACGAAGAGATATCGCACTAATCAAAATGTTTCATAAAGTCTTCCTTTTGCACGCCCATTAATTTAGACTATTATCGCACAATTTCCCCTCTTTCACACGTTATTAAGCAAGTTTAATTTCATGCAAATTTTTCTAATGCGATGGAAGGCTGCATTTGTCTGATATAATGATAATAAACCATTTATCTCTCTGCGGCCCGCTGCGGCATTTCCGCATATGAATACGACGTCTAGTATTAGACAGGACACATCCCTATAATTGTGTCTCTCAGAATGATATGTTGCCCCTCAGCTGATCTTTTACTTACTGCCATAACCAGAAAATCCTTTTACAACCTTTTCATGGCAACTAACATAATAAATTCTTCTGACATATATAAAAAATGTTTTTGCTTACCAGAACCGCGCCCAGGGTTCGTCTCTTGGTTGCTTATGGTGAAATTTGTCCTTGGAGCAGGGAATCCCGGAGTGGTGGATTTAAATACTTTTGAGGTCTGAGAACTGTAGTCTTGTGGCTTTTCGTCTGAAATAAAACGATTCTCACTGTCATACAATATCTGCTACATGTAACAAAATCCGTATGCCGGGTCATAAGTTTTCTTTGTCAACGTTTCTCTTGTTTTTTTTCCTTATCATTATTGTGTATTGGAATAATTGGGTAGGGGTGAAAAAAACAGTGAAATGTCAATTGATTCGAAGACTATGAACTACAGTTGTCAATTTACCTTCGTGTTCCAGTAAAGGAGCGTGAGGAGAACCTCTCTCTGACGCATGCGCACACTCGGAGTCTGTACTGGGAGCCGGACTGAGGACAGCTTCTAAGAGACAATATTTCAAATATAAACACCCATCCATAATATAAACCTGTATTTTTAAAATAACATAATTAAATATCAATTTATCTGCACGCTTTTCAATGCTCAGACAGATGAATTCATTTTTACCCAAGGTCGCATATTTTGCGGTTACAGACAGTTTCCTTAGACCATCCATTCTTACGTCACCTGAGCTTTCTATTCTTGTGGACATACATCTTTATATTCATATCTCATCCACTCTGTATAACCAATACAACGGTGCTTATATAACTGACAATACTGCATTGGATCCTTTACCTCGGGTTCTTCCTGTTAAAAATAATTACGAAAAAAAACATACCAGGTACAGAAATCTGGAATTTTCTGTCTCCTCCGAGTGGCATTTGTAGTGTTTCTGGCCGATGCACCACAGGGGTGGGACGGTGAAGAGTGTGCAACATGGATGGTGACACAGAGTTAGGTGCATGGGGACTACTACGACAGGCTGATGAAGGGGAAAGCGTAGGAGAAAGTCTGTGCTCTGAAATAGAGGAATGTTTTGTTGATAAACGATACGACAAATGTTCACAAAGGTGCAATCACGTACAAAAGAAAGTCTCCCCAGACACAGACCGAGGTAGAAACCCAGGTTGAAGAAGAAGACGTTACAACATGCACATGACAAATGTGATGCAACGCACTGATTAAAGAGAGTTTGTCATTTGTATTTAATATCAAGAGAGTGATGAAGAAACAGAACTAAAGTTTGCCATTTTGTGCACTTAAGTTTCGTACCATCATGCATATGTTGGGCCGGCGGGCTCCCTGTGGACGCGCTGGCGTGGGGAGGCGGTGAGGCGTTGAAAAACCCGAACGTTGGAATCAATGGGGACCGCATGGCTTGTGGAACTGAAAAAATGATTTCATCTATGTGTTATAAGTGGTTTCCTACGTCCACATCGACCACATTCCAAACACGCACGCATGCACGCACACATACAAGCACACGTGCACGCACGTGCACACACACACACACACAATCATACATATATGGACAGATAAGAAAATATTTTGGCGGTGATATAATCGGTGATGCAAAAATCCTACAAATTGAAATCAATTTTGCCAATCATAAATTGTCTTTGCAGTTTTATTCAAAAGCGTTCACTCTGTAAAATGCTTTTTTGCCAATAACCTTCCCCAGCTAACTGAAATAAATAGGCGGAGATGATTTGAGGACAGGCATACCAGGATGAGGAAGTAAATAAATCTTCCAAGATGATTGGTTAGCGGGTTTTGTGTGTTTGTTCGTCTGTTGCTCGTACCTTAGGTTGACCTTTTATCAAACCAAAGACTATGTGAACATGATAAGCCTTCAGCATGGTTAGTTTAACATGCAAAAAGTGTCATTTGTGGCCTCGCCGAAAAATACAACAGAGGAACAAAAGACACACTTTAAATTCCGTCTTTCCACATGCCCTTAAAATTGATTGTTTGTAAAATGATTACCAAATATTAATCGTGTTATGTAGTCCTAAGTAATGATTTGTTTTTTAGCTGAAAATGTGGACATATTTGCACGCCTTGATTTATCCCTGCTATCGTATTTTAGTAACATTAGTATATTCAGAGATAAGTGGTGGCCGGCTGAAGCTGAACATACTGACAGAATATTCCTTGATGCATTTCCACAAAATCAGTGCCAGGCATATCAATGACCAGTTGAAATATTTTGCCTTAATGGAAACCCCACGAATATCGACATTTCTTCTATCATTCTTTATTTCTCCACCTGTGAATTTCGTGAATTCGTGAATTTAGATGCCCCTCGCGCAAATATTTTCACTTTTTGGGTTCGACCCCAGGGTTGTCATTAAACACATTTCGACCTTAAATGCACTTCCTGGTTGCACTAGATCAATTTAGTAGGTTGATTAAGATACTGCATCAGTTGCTGGGCAGTTTTTGATGAAGTTTAGCCCTATGGTATTTCTTCATCGACCAAGCCATTGGATTGTTGTTATATTTCTTTCATATCCTCTTTTATTTTTTACTCTGATAATGCTAGATAAAGTACATATATAATTGATGGGACAAGAGGAAATGATATACCAGTATTGTTGATTTTTCTGGCTGGAGAGTAGGCGCATCTCAGTAGTAAATGTCACGATGTTTTCGAAAAGCAAAATTGATGAAGCACTTCATGAATATGAGGATACACAAAGGTGTTTACCTTATTTTCAGGATAACGATATGAGGAAGAAGAAACGGTCGGCTGTGTTGTAAAAAAGGCATCAATTATGCTTACATATGTATTGAGCGTAAAACCAAAAATATTTCTATCTAGAAAACGGTATTTGACCGAGAATGTTAATTGGGCGTGTGCAGACAAGATTAAACATGGGGTGGGCGACAAAACGACACAATGAAATGCTAAAAATAAATAAATGGCAGCTGGATTTCGCAATACACATACTTTTTTCTTTCTTTAAAGACAACATTACTGTCTTAATAAAAGAATATGTTTAATATACGTGGGCAAATTTCCATGACGCAGAAGACGAATTTCTATGGGGCATCTGTATTTATCAAATATCTCGTTACAGATCTGTCTAGATGTTTACGGCATATCTATTTAAAGTTCTAAACCACCATCTTGGATTTCGGGTCTTCTAATTTACTGTGGAAATTGGAATTTTAAAAGCAACGGTAGGCTATTTCTTATTATTGATTCGTCATTTCTATCTTCGCATCGCAGGATGTTTACACGTCAATCTTTTATTACCGGTAAATATCAAGACCTGGTCCTGGGAAAGGGTAACTAAAGCTGCTACGTGACGAAGTTCACCCTTTTCTTTCTACTATAAAGATATGTTAACCCCTGACTATGCATTTCATACAATGAATTAGAATTATTGAAATGCTTGTGAGTCACAGCAAGGTCAGGTTTAACAGGTAAAAGGAAGATAGGTTAAAAGAAGCAATAAATAAACCACTTGGCCTTCCCACGTAACAGGTCCGGGATATAATGTCAATGCAGGTTATAAAAATGGAAATGACGAAGAATAAGGGTGTAGTCCAGAAGGAACAGTGATATAGAATAACAAAAGTAATACGCAACTCAGCATTTATACATATCCCCAATAGCGGATGTGATGACGGGAAATGTTTTGAAATCCTGTGTTGATCTTTCTTTCATATTATAAAAGGTTAGATCTATTACAACTTACTGTTGCATTTTTCTGTCATTTTCTGAAGGGTATTATACAGTATGTCACCGGCGTTAGGGACACGTTCTATGAAGTCCTCCTTTTTGAGCATCGTCAGAGCTTTACCTGGAAAAAATTAAAAAATTTTGTAGAAAATCATGAAAACTGTATTGGCATTTACGACAAATACGTAGACAAACAGGGAAATATTAGAAGTTAATCATCTTGAGCACGAAACTTTTCAAGACAGTATTGTCTAAAAAAAAAAAAAAGATGAGATTACAAAATACCACTTAGGCAATGAAAACTGCATTTGTAAACAACCGAAGTCAACAATGCAGTGACAATGTGAAACAGATTTGAGTCAATTGTCGAGCAAGTAGAAAATTAATCGACGTATAGGGCATTTTCAAATTGTCTTTGTATCTATACTAATGTGACTTCATCCAAGTGAAGGGAACGTCTGTTACAATCGTCTGGTCTTCATTTTTTTCAAAAGTCACACACGCAAACGTACTTGAACACAGCACACGATGCACTGAGAGGTATTGACTTAAATGCACTATGTACTTATCGTCTTCAACATAAGCAGACTCGAAAATCAGGCGTATTAACATTTCAAACAGGAAAGAAACGTTACAGTTAATCTTATTGCCAGGAATTGAAGCAACAGAAAGCTCTGACCGGAATCGATCGATATAGGATTTATTAATCTTAATAGCCCCTATGACGCTCGTACACATATCCTTGGGAATCGAGAAACGAGAAAAACAACAACAAAAAAATAACGCAAAACAAATGCAGTATGACGTTAGCGTCTCGAATAGAGTGCGAAACCAATCGTATTGAAACTTTCTTTCTTCCAATTAAAACGCTGCTGCTAATTTCCTCTTTCTGGCTTTAACTCTTAAAACCTTATTATTAATCTCCGACTGTTCTAATTTCCTTGCGTTGAGCGCCACGGATGCTAGTTCGTGTATTTTTAGGGTTTCTAATTGAGTCTCGCTCTGATCGTAGGCTTCAGGGAGACACAAGATGGAAGAGTGACGTCACAGCTCTTCCTGTCATTAGATCCACATCTTTGAACTGGGTGTCAGTCTGTGCGAAGTGGGCCGAATGCGGCTTCCTTCCAAACGCACCGTCTTTTCGTCTGATCATGTTCATAGGCTTCTTTGTGCAGCAACTGGAATTTGGCCTCGATTATTCTGTACCGGAATGAAGTTTTTTTCCCAGGCAATACCGCCACCCATGATTTCAAAGTCTGCGACTTTCATTGCATATTTTGCGGCAAAATGTTGTTATTTTTTGTTAACTAGTATTTTCTAACCTTTTTTAATGGTTGACAAGATACACGTAAACAAAATGCTATATTAATGTTAAATAGCACCTGAAGCATTATAGGTAAAAGCAGCAAGTAAAAAAGGCACCATTGTAACACCTTTCCGTCAAACATGAAGCACAAAACGCCTAGACAGCAATTCTCCTTGCTTATTGAGAAGAGGTTATTGTATTCCTTCAGAAAATCTCCTAATTATTTGATACTTAATTGACATTTGACCATACTTCATACATTTAAACAACTGATAGAATATTCCCAAAGACAAGTCATTTATTATCAGTTCTAATCAAGAACGACCATGGAAAACAACACGCGATGCTGTAGTTGTACATATATTGATAACTTTTTTTCTGTTCCGTATTATATAATAAAATCAGACAAAGCAAATTTTACTAGTTTGATGCAATGATCTATTGGTAAAAACAGTAACAGATGGTCACTGACATAAGTCTATCAAGTGCTTATTACGAGCATATATCTGTATCTGTTTACATATTATACATGTATATCCTAACTTAACTGCTTAATAAATGCTCATCGCCCCCCTCACCACCCCCACCACCACCACCACTGCTCCATCCCCTTAAAAGACGTACGAATATTAGGAATGTTAAAAGGTCGAATATCTAAGGGGGGTTCTTTTAATTCATTGTAATGAACGCTATTCAACCGTGTGTTGATTACTTCCGCGGGCTGACTGCCAAAAATGACACTGCATAATTTCTATTGGCAAAGCCAGAAGAGGAAAAGCTTTTTTTAAACTTCCTTCTTGATTTCCACGAAATAGGCTGGCTCACCTTGTTCAAAATCAATGGAGTCTTGAACAACATGACTGGCAAATTTCAACATATTTCTTTCACTATGTATTAATATGGGTCTTTTACTAATCTATTAATATTTGATCTTTTTCGTGCTTTAATGGCAGTGAGTGGTATGTTGAGGACACTTAACTAACTCTTTTGATACGAAAAGCCAGTTAATTGGCATTTTGTGATTTAGCTTTTTTTTTCTTCTTTTTTTTTTTTAGTTGTAGCTATGTTTTGAGGATGTTTTACCAACTCCATTTTCTTACCGTCAAAATCAATTAACGAAAAAACTCTTAGCTGACGTAAAGGGGAGAGTAAAACCGTGTCATTCTTATCTCAACTGATAAAGCAGCGCATAAAGTGAAAAAATGTCTACAATGTGGTGTGTTTCCAACGTGGTGGAAGGAGACAAAGGGAAGAAAAACGGTATGTAACGTATGCAGCTCACCACACTGCAAGATAAGGTTTAACCGTTTAATACAACGCCAGATCTTGTCGACCTTTTTGCATTCTCACGATAAGCGATGCAAATTAGGGAGAGATGAATCTTAGTCTCTTACTGGGTAATTATCTATCTGCGGTAAAATACCACCTTCCTCTTAAGCTAAACTTAGCTTTGATTTCCACATTCAAACCATATCTAGTGGTTCTCTTGTTTGTAGATTTTTAATTCTTAAAAATTTTGGCTAGAACAATTAAATTTCCTTAAAATTAGATTTGTCTATTCTCATATTCTCTCTCTCTCTCTCTCTCTCTCTCTCTCTCTCTCTCTCCAATAATAAAATATAATTAATATAATATAATCTTAGTAAGTAAAAATTAGTTCTTACCATTCATACTGAACTTGTCTACTGGAATGTCACTTAAGGAATATTCGTTCACGCACCATTTCAGCCATAGCTGAACGTCTTCTTTGGACCAGTAATATGGGTGGCTGGCTGAAAGAAAATGACAGCGGTTTAACTTCTGATATCATCCAACTTCTACTGAGGTTTTGGTATAAATTTATTTTTTAGATATAAAATTCATATCCCAATAAGTTTAAATAAACTGTCATAAAAATAATAATGATTAACGAGGAAAATATAAAAAAAATGAAAAGATATCTTTTTTTCAATTGTGCTAATTCCTTCAGGAAATATTTACCCAATACAGGGCTGCCGGTCGGAGACATCGGGGGACGCGAGCCGCTGGTGTGGAAGGACATCGCTTGCCAGGGATTAAATAATACTGCGCCTTGAGACTGGAGACTAAACATCTGGAAAAAAAAAAAGAAATATTATATAAAATTTGCCCTCTCTATCTCTCTTATGTACCCAAATAAACAATTTTAAGACATCGATATCACATTCATTTGGTAAACAACTTACGCGAGTCATGTAATGTACTCTCCCTCTTAAGTGCGAAAAGTGAAATGTCGAAGGGGGAGTTGTTCATGTACTACCTCGGATGTCAGTCATTTTACGCCACGCCCCTACCGGATAAACGCATTGAAATAGAGCGCTGCGGAAGACCAGGAAGGCAGCTATACGTGCTATGTTATTGCAGTATAGGAAGTGAGTGCTCTCTGTGTTGTCGTCACATAAAGTATTTTCCTTTAAGATTTTAGGCATACTGTAACCTACACTTTATACGCGGCTCATTAGATATACAATGTGCTTTATGCCTCCCACGCACTGGGCTCGTCGCACACTCATAACACTTTTAAAGCTTACCCAGCCGGGGCTCTCTCTAACAAACAAGTGCACATAGTCAGTTCTCTCTACATAACACGATCTTTCAAACTGCTCACAGAGATTTTCAAGTTCAATTGAAAATAATAAAACGACTCATCATTGTAAGCCTGCTAACATCAACAATGTGACAAAGTGTAGGATTTCAAACACACGATAAGTCCATAAACTACTACTTGTTGGACTTATCTGAGGGCAAGTTATACTTTTTGATTTTATTTTAACAATTAAATGCAGATAAATTGGTGTCGCAAAAACAATCAAATTTACTACTTCCTGTCAAACCTCGCCGCCTGTCAACCATCTTGACAGTGTTACAGCGCGCGTAATCCGAAAGTATCTTAAATTGATCTTGAAGTATGGCGGGATTTTAAATTTTGGGTAAAGGTAAGGATTCTGTGATTATCCAAAATTGTTGCAGAGATATGATGAGAGTCAGAAAAGAGGGATCAAAGAATTCGGTTGGGTTAGAGACAAATACGTACCAGCAGTTGCAGTTAAGACGCTAGCTGGTAGTCATTTTACATATATATTTGCACCTATATCTTTCATGCGTTAGCGCGTAAATTATGTGATAAAAAACCAAGTCAGTAACTTATATACATGTATTATCTATACTTGTAGTGGGATTTCTTACATCTATCGTGATCATAAGGCCCCGCGCTCCTTGGGCTTCACCACGACCTTTTGAAATTACATTAACACTCCTCCAAGTGTAGGTCTAGCTTACAAGTCCTGGAAGGTCTCTTTTCCCTAGACTTTCTGAGAAACCAAAAGTAACACGAGAATACCACAGAGCGCGCTTAGGGTCCAAATCTCCCTTGTAGAGGGTACTGTACATATAGGTACTGGTACCACCGTGCATATGCGTGTCCCTTTATTCCATTGATTAGTTCGAGATTACGTAAATAAGGAAGAAAAACAACACTTCCGTCCTATAGGAAGGTTCCTTACATAAATTCAAAGAATAGAGGGTTGCGTAAATGAGGGCTGGAAATACAGTTAATGGCACGTCAGCAACAAATTGAATAAATCATTACATTCGTAACCGCTTGCAAAGTAGTGCAATTCTTCCACTAATAGACAACCTTTCGAAAACTCAAATTACCGTCTAGAACTTTGCTTCATAGCTTGTTACAGACGTAAATAGGAGTGCGCCTGACGATAGAACACTACCTCACGTTGTCATGGAAACCAACTTATCTGACCGGGACTTACGAGAGATCATAGGGTTTGAGGAAATCTTGACGATCATTTCCTCAAGAAGCGTGAAGTACCAACGTCAACAGCTTCAATAATTCCAGGAGGCTTAGTTGTCAGACGATCGATTGACGCGAGGAAACTATAATGAGTTTTGCGTTAAAAGAAGGCCTCCGCTCTGCTCAGCGAAAACATCCGGATTATATATACACAGGGTTGGCACGAAGCATGCGGATGATAATCATACAGAGCGGCAGAAATGAAAAGATAACAAGCACGCGCAAGAGGAAGGGGTATATTTACGTATTGCATCACTATTTCCAGCCGGGGATAAAAAAAAAGAAACAGCGATATAATGGCTCATTCCCATTGAAGCTATCGGTCTCCGTAGATCGATCCAAGTCCGGGGGGACTCTCGCTGAGTGCACTCAGTGAAACAGATTAACACGTCTCCTCTAGATTCCAATGTACCCGTATAATCACCATTTTTTCTGTATTCTACTCAACGCCAGGGGGAGGCGTGTAAATCTATTCAACTGATTGGCCCCGGGGAGTTGGATTGATCTATGTAGACCGACAGATTCAATGGAAATGAGCCCTGAGATACATGTTCCTAGCATAGCCTTCGAGGCCTTACTTATTAGTAGTGCACATCTAACTGTGGTTTTGGATTGAATAACTGACCAAATGGTGTCTTTGAATAGGCATCTTTGCAGGTCCGTAGGCAGGAATAAGGGCGGAGCTTATGGGGTGCTGAATGAACCGCCCTTTTGTCCGGAAAAGGTCAGCTCTGAGTCAAATTTGATCTAGCTTTTCTCAGAAAAATAACCCACCTTTGAAAAAATAACCCCTCTTTCTCAGAAAACAATTCTTTGGAATTGCTGGATACAGGAGTGTCCGTGATAAAACAGCTGCCCATATATATTTGTCTCAAACGTTTCCGAAGTGCGTGTGCCTTGTGAGAAGCCACTAACCCTGTCAACCACGCCATTCTCTTTTAATTTTTATTTTGCCTTAGAAGAAACAGTGCTTTATCCTTTATCTATTTATCAGAGAGGAATTGCTGTATTTGTAAGTCGATATCATAAGTCCTTTTGCTCCGAAGTGAAACACACTATTAGTTTCGAAACAGTTTACAATAATGTGACGTGCCACGAAATCAACAGCTATGAGGTCGAGTGCAGTAATCGATGAAAGTTATAAGTTAATATTTGCTCCCATTCAGATATAATTTAGATAAAAAGTTACAAAGCGAAGGTCTGAATGAATTATGTTATCAGACAATTAACCGGTAAGTTATTTATGTGAGACCTAGGTCCCCTGACAAAGCATCGAGGGTTTTTGATTTGGTTGGAGCTAGGCTACGGGGAGGTGACACGCTGCAAAGATAAACTCTGAGCTTGCTTAATTAATTTCTTTGTCAAACCTTAACCGGTCTCGGTGGAACTTTATCAACGCCCTTTGAGGCTGAGGGCATAGGATAAAAAACTTAAACGATATGTTTTTTTTTTCGATATTGTTATGGAATACTCTTTGAGCACAGGGTAGCTAGTAGTCTGTACAAATTTATTTTATCGCCTGTACTTACATTTTGTACACTATTTTAGAGCCCCCTAATACCAGAGGGGAGCAACCGATGCATGAAGATTAGTACCTTAGTTACGTTTTACAAGATATCCCAAATTGTATTATTCGTTTCAATTGCTGACGAGAAGAGCCGATCGGTTTACACTAGTTACCACTAGACTTGTACCATTATATAAAACCTTCTATTGCGGTAAACATGACTATTCAGTTATAGATGCAATTATTGATCAGAAGGAAATTGGAATGACACCCGGAAACTTGTATTTAGAAACATCCTTAGGTGTAATAACGCGGAAATACACTGTGCATTTGTAGCACCAATATACTTTTACGTGGGATATGTAATCATAAGCTTAATTGATTCTCTTGCCCCGTCGTTTTCTGCATATTTCCAATCTTGCCATCATATACCTTAGGATTGACGCATTCAGTGGCTAATTTGTCAATCTAAAACGCCATTGAGAGAGTAACCTATTTGATAATATATAGATACAGCTTATATCTGATATTGTATCGCTTTGGTAATCCACTTACATTGCGAGTTTACATAGAATAAATGAATTAATAAATGTGTTTGAATAAATGAATAATTTAGATAAACGTACTTTTCTGTAAACGTGGAGTTAAATCAGAGTAAAAACGCCAAAAAGGGAGCGAAAACATTTTCATATAAAGCCTGAGAACCACATTGTACCAAGTATTTACAAAACACTTAACTTTGGTCGAAGAACAATAGATGAAACGTTTGTCATTATCATGAAGTACAAGAGAACGAAACCCTGACTGCATTAGCTCCTTACCTCATTAATGTTCTTGCTAGAAGAGATCTAGAAGACAACGCTGCATATACTGACAGTAACTTAGGCTCAGTCAAATATCTACGTTATTTTATGAGTAGTCATGATATAGAATAGCTAAATATTTAATAGCATACTTATTTACATTTCATTTCTATTGTAAATTTTCATCTATATCCATGTAGATGTACACGCTGCAATGAATAAAGCATACGATAAATATATAGCTCTCGACTTACTTTTCGTGATAATCGTCAGGTCTTTCTCATTAGAGACAATAAAAGTCATTTTGCATCATTTAATGCCATTATAGGGATTTAAGTAAAGTTGAAATTTGAAATAAGGCTATACTGGTGGCGAAAGTGTGAGTGCACGGATGATTACGTCATTCCTGCGTCTTTCACATAGATTAAGACAATCCGTGATGCTACCTGTTTATTGACCTATCACGACACCGCGGACGTCACAGACGGGTCCCTTGGGGTTATTAGAGCGTGATCAGAGGAGGCGGACTACTTAAAAAGCAATTTTTTTCTTAACATTAAACGTTATGTTTAGTGCAAATAGCTTAGTTTATATTCTTTGACGCGCATTTGAGGTCACACATTACCTTTCCATTAAGTATTTATTCCGTGCGGGTCTTTTTAAGGTGAATTGAATACATGTAAAAATTTAATAAATAAGCAAATAAATAAATAAATAAACAAAGACAGCATCAAACTCTCTCTCTCTCTCTCTCTCTCTCTCTCTCTCTCGTCAAATAAATTACCCTTCTTGAATCAGAGTTCCAGAGTAAGTGGGTTACTCATCGTTACTTAAGTCTTTAACGCCTCTATTACAAACACTTCTCCGAGGAAATATATAAGCACTTCCGAGGCGTGTTGCCAGTTTGGCAGTTGCCATACATCAAACACACACAATATGACAGCATTCTCTGCAAAGTATACTTCCACAGCTTTCTACGTCACTTAATTACTCATTAACACATTTGTACAGTTTTTTATGTAACACCTTCATTGTTTCCAATAACATTATTCTTTAGGAAACTTCCGATTTCTAGGAAACATTTAGGTTGGGGTATCGTTAGGGTCTACCATTACTGAACCACATGACCGCATGAAAGATATTGTCTACTTGATGGAAATTGAATCAATTTCACAATACAGCTTATATCTGAATGCAAATATCAGAATATATATATATATATATATATATATATATATATATATATGCAGAATGTATCGTGCATCTGGGTGATATATTATTCAAAAATAGCTAGGTTTGTATGATGCATCCTTTCGGTTTGACTGTAGCACGTGGTTTGTTTGGCGCACCTCTTTACCAAGGTCCTACGTGATCTCTGTAGAGTGTCTATACCAGTGTAAATAAGTAACGCCCCCTCCCCATCTTTCCTTATGCACCGATATGCTTAGACTGCCTGGAACAAACAGGTATCACCACCGTTCATCACGGACACGGAGTAATATATATCCACACACCAAACCACGAATATTTCCGTGTATTCATATATTTCTAGTACATGCCTGGATACACGTAATTGTTTTAGGAGCCCTCGCCGATTGTTATTTGGCTCATGACCATGAGTCGTGTAGCCTACCAGGCCTACATGCAGCTCACATATACTGGTTAATCATCATCTTCCACTTAATCAAGGTTAACATTTACTCCATCAATTACGATAAATATTAACCAATATCAAAGCAACAACAGTTATAATCATGATCCACCGGACTTCAAGGTATTAGATATATATGTATATATGAAATTTATCTCACCTTAGTTGGCTGGTTGAAGTTACGTCGCACTGTCCGAAATTAAACACAGCTTGCTAAATATCTGGGTGGTAGTCGTGACGGCTACCCAACCGTGATTATAGACAGAGCTTATCCCTAACTGTTATTTCCTTTGGTTTGGATTCTTTAAGCACTGTTTACAAGCGGAAGATAAACAAGGTAGCTGAAATGAGGAACAGCGTCTAAAATCTGTCAAAAACTCCTAATGCCCAAGTAAGTTTATCTATATTTTGTTCTTAGAAAATCATCTAGAACCTCTTCCCGGAATTGCCGTATTTGGCAGTAACGTGACCTAAGATATGGAAGTGGGAACGTCGGAAGTAAACAAGACTGATAGGTTGCGAGAGCCCCAACAATACGAACGTCATACGGGTCGTGCATTCGTCAGAACGTTAAATCAGGACTCCGTTCGCTATTGATTCTTTCGCCACGGCCACCACATTTCAACTTCCGCTGCAGGCCATTAACCTTTTCCCCTAACCTTTTCGGAAATGATTCTAAGCGTGTTTACGCACACAGCCAGTCATTGACGCAACTGGAGTAGCAAGTCCTCTTAATATCAGCTGAGCGTGATTCACTTTCGTTCTTCTTCCTTACCGTCTACAACTAGTTAAAAACTGCTTACCATGCCTTTAACCTCACAACATTATCAACAAGCTGGTATTATACAGGCACTGTGTAACTTAATATCATCCGTTTATTTTAATTCCCTCGTAATTTATTATTTAAAATAGCAACATAGTATAGTGACAGGCTGCTCGCTCACCTGCTGTCACCATTGATCCGCCTTTTGTGCAGCTGTTCCAAATTATGAAAGATTTACCTGGCGTTAAGGAATCACGCATTGGGGGAAGTGGTGATCTGAGCTATCTAGCGTGTATATATGNCTCGCAATACTTTTCCCAAACCTCTCTGCTTGTCATCTCAAACTGATTAGAAGTTTGTGACTATCCATCATTGGAAATATCCCCTATAACCCTGACACGATGATACCATAATTCAATTTATAAGTTCAAATTCATTTCCTCAGCCGGCACTTCTATCATGTGACGTCACCTGCACATCAAAAGCGTACACTCGCATTGTACCGAGATAGGAAATTAGACAAAATCAACTTATCCTATTAATTCTCTGATATCCGACAGTGTTAACAACGGCACGGGAAGTAAAAGCGGTATGGCAAAAATGCCGGAAAGCAAAATCGTGGAGTTATTACTTCTTACGGAGGTGAAGCTCAAGTACAAAAATAGTCTAGAACAACTCAAAGGGCTTTCTATCTGTAAGCTCAAACTTTTTTTTAAATGGTGAGGCGCATTAGTCTTTAAGAGAAACCTATTTCACAAACATGATACTTTTGCATTCATGTATTTCACGGTGTTTACGCGCTAGCTAACTTATTTTCCGTAGTTCAGGTTGTATTTATTTATCTAACCCATCTTCCTATGCCTCTTTGGATTTTCAATTTATATATTTACCTTTAGATCCTGTTCATCTGTGCATGTCTGCATCAAGTTTTTCATAATTAATATTGTAAATCTCCAGCCTGACTTCTCTTTTCATTTTTTTCATCTCTCGTATTACTTCACAGTGGCCAGGGAAGTAATAAAGAGTGCTATGTTATTGTTGACGTGGGAGTAGTTGGAAGTCAGGGTAGGTATGCTGTGCCGCTATTAATATCATTCAGCGTCATCACTGACAACTGGCAGCAAAACCAAGTGTTTTTTCTATTAATACTGTTCCAAGAATTAGCGTGAATTAGCCCACGGGCACAGAAAATGAATAACGTATATTAACATGCAGAACAGACAACGAGCATGTACTTGAATTAAGACAACATCAGATTATTTTACCAAAACGTAACTGTTAACGCGCTAAGTTTGACAAGTAAATCGCACAAAGATAGCTCCAGAAATGCGTCAATCAATCCAGCACTACCGCACAATACGCAAGCTAATTGCGGTTTGACGTGATTCTGTCCTGGCGCATGTATATATAATAGCTGCACCCGCATATGCAACAAATATCGTTGTTCTGGATTAAATTGTTGTTTGTACCTTTGCCCGTTCTCATATGTTTTCTGTTTATCGATAATGTATAATGCAGTGTACAGATAATAGTTATTGCCAGTGCACAACAGATGAACATTTGAAATGAAAACATATTGTATCTTGGGAGTCCTCGACTAATTCGATTACTCCGTCACGGTGTATTCTGCTTAGGAAACATATGAATTCAACTCTGATTATATTTTTTAAAAGAGAATCATGTCGCTTTATGAGCAGAAAACAGTTTTTGTCCTTTAACTATAAGTCTTTTGGGGGGAGGGGGCCAGGGTGATTTTTTTTCTCGCTTTACTTGACAAATACAGTTTAGTAAAAAGGGTATTGACGCGAATAGCTTGCTTTGTCCCATTTTTGAAGTAAATTATGTGTATTTTTTATCTATAATTCAGATGAATGATTCCCATATTCACTTGGCTTGGCATACGGCTAAAGAGGAATAATTTCCTCCAGTCAGACATTTTCAATATCAAACAAAAGAAGAAATATCTCATTTTTGGTTCACCTTCAAATGGTTTTTACTTAAAGGTTACGGATAAAAACATAAAAACACACTACCTAAGTGTCCTTGGAAGCACAGAAACACTATAATAATGAGCGCTTAGTTCGTAGGATAAAATTGGGTGGAAAAGAAAGGAAGCCCGATGAGGAGAAGGGGGTGCATTTTATACCAATAAATATTGGAAAATAGATCAAAACGTCAAATGGATATTGGCGCTCAAGAGTATGTGACCTCTCGTATGAAATAAGCCCAAGTAAGAAAGAATAAAAAAAAAAGAAATCTAAAAATGTTATTTCTCAATTCTTTTTCACCGAGGAGACGATAACCTTTTTGATGAGAGGAAACTTATTAAGATACTTATTTTGTTCCTCGTAGGTTGTTATTGAAAAACTCTGCGGAAAGTCTTTACTGGCGTCGGAAATTAGAGAAACTACGTTTCCGTCTCAGCATCGATCCAGCTTGCTCAATTTCCCCTTCATTCTGCCCTCGTTTTTTCCTGCCTTGACTCCCGACTCGCAGAGATATTAGCAGCAAAGGCACGTCAAGTGCTTTTTTTTTGACAATGAATGTGTGGGCTTCACTCTTCATGGTTTTCTCGTCAACTCATTCTTTACTTAATATATATTTAATCATTTATTTATGTGTATTTATGAGGGGATGCTTCCAGTTTGGAAATGATTTTGAAGTCCAGAAAATTACACTCATCAAACTCGAACATATTTTACTCACCTACTGAGAGATAACAATATCTTTTCTTTCTTTCTTTGAACGTCAAAAATACGTCTTCAAAACGTGTAGCGGCATACGCATCGGGTCTTTTAAAGGTCTCAAATATGCTTCGGCTTTTATATAGGGTGCTCTGTAGTCTAAAAGTTTCACAAGTTTTCAGTTGAGAAGTTTCCGAATTGGAACCTATCTTTACTTGTCTGGAAATCGTGATTTACGAAAGCGAAACCAAACAGAATGCATGCACCAAAATGAGGCATCTCTATGACAACGACCTTAGTCATAAGTAACCCCCGAGTCAGTGGCCCCCATCTTATACTTCAAAGTGGCAGGAACTCAATCCTTGAACGTTTTCTTTTTCCCAAAAATTTAATTAAAACGGATAATGATGACCCCGTTCTCTGAAGATTGAACACTTAACGTTTTCTTCATATTTTCAAAATAGATCAACACTACGTCAAGTTTACAATCCAATTATTTCATCGTTTTCTGACAACTCTGGCAACTCTTCCGTGTCGCACACCCGGACGGATAAATTTCAATTTGAATTTGATTTATTCTTGCATTGTTTGGGTCTTAAGAGCGCTTATAAGCTATTTATATTCACCGCTACCGTAAATACGCAAAATCTTACGCTTTAGTTTTAATTGCACTCGAGTACAGTAATGTTTTGTCTAAATTTTCATGTCTAAACTTTGTCTAAACTTTCTTATCATCATTATCATTATAATTGCTTTTTTATTGTTTTTGCAAAATTAATCGTGCCTCAATTTCAATAAACGAACGTCAATAAACTATTACTTTCGCAGTCTTCAGATCTTTTGAGCGAAAGTTGGCAATTAAATCCGAAAAAAAGTTATCGCAAAACAGGAGTGAATGAGTCATAAACAACTGAGTATATTGTGATTATAGACAAACTAGAATGTTAACTTTTAAAGTATGCCAAACCGAACATCAAAGATACAAAGTTTTCACTATTTAATCTTGTATTTCATCAACTTTGTGTAGATGCTGAAATCATACGCAAATACGAATAAGATCGATTACGATGACAAAACAAAAAGCAGTGTTCAAGACTTTTTTCCGCGCCATTCCTCTTCCCCTTAATACGGTGCGCAATGTAAGGGATTTTATGGCGTGACCAATTTTCTCTTGAACGAATAAGTGCCGAAAATGAGGTTTCACTTCTGCAGCGTGGCGACGTCACGTCCCGCAGTTCTTGGAAACCCATTCCCTTCAGACGTTGCATTCACTTATCGCGATTTAATCTACATTTAACCTAACTAATTAATCTGAACTAAATCTATCCTTTATCTACCTTAAACAAGCAAACCAAGAGAAGTAGACTGTTCCAACGCATGAGAAAATAGAATAATCAATAAAATATTCCATACTTTTATTTTTTTTAATGAAAATTGCTTTCAAACGACCTATTTGATCAAAGTACTATAAATTAACCGTGAATTAATTATACAAGACCAGATAAGCTTTGCCTATGATATGAAAACCTGGATTTCAAAACCAATTAACTTTGATGGACAAAACACATCCCCCTTGCCCTTACCGATCATCCAAACTAAAAATAAAATCCTTTTTATTTGTGTGTTTTAGGATCACTTTTTCTTTATTTATCCAAGTTGAGTGTTCGGTTTAGTCCTTCATTTGCATCTTCAGCTATATACCCATATTCAGCATTTTGTTTGCCTTTAAAACACCGTCAGAGGATATCTTGCATGAAAATAGGAACGACAGTGGTACACAGAATCTTAACATGCTTTTTTTTTAAAGTACGAGGAGGCACAAGCACCATTGTATTAAAAAAGGGTATAGTAACACAGGAATAAAGTACAGAAATATATTATCTGCCACGCGATGATTTATCATGAGGAATGTGAAAAGTTCGAACGGACTGAAAACACCCTTATCACACGGTTCACTGCCAAGTTATCAAAATTTTGATTATTTTTTAAATAAATGATTAATCATTCGGACTAAGAGGCTGTCTGTGCTTGGACTGAAATGATATCGTCAAAAATATCATCGAGGCCATGGCAAGAATGCATAATCTATTTCCTTATTCGTATATTCTACATATTCTCGACGTCTTAGGGCTCATTCCCATCGAAACTATCGGTTTACGTACATGTAGATTGATCCAGCTGTGCGGGGACTCTTGCTGAATGCAATCCCTAGATTCTCTCTAAACTCTTAAAGTGCACCCCGCCCTCCCCGCCCTCCCCCCCCCCCCAAAAAAAAAAAGGGGGGGGGGAAGAAACAAATAATAAAGAACGAAGAAAAAACTAGGTAAAGGGCTTTCTGCATTATTTGTGGAATTATGAAGCTGGTTAAAATTCTGACCAGGTTTTGCCAAAAATGGGATTTCCGACAATTCCTATCGTGAAATAGGTCTAAGGTCTGCCAAACATTAGTCTAGGTCCGGTCCCTAGTGACGTCAGCGCATATAGTCTATATGCAGTGGCCATACATTATGATT